GCAAGCACGATAACCGCCTCGACCACCTCCCCGTCCCTGCGGCCGCCGCGGCCCGTCTGCTGAATGTAGTCCACTAGCCCGTACGGCTCTTCTGCGTGTAGAATCACGCTGATTCCGGGAATATCTACGCCTGTTCCGAGACCTGTCGTTGCCGTGATCCACCGGGACGCGCTGCTGCCGTTCACCCATGCCTCGAGTACCTCCTCTCGCGCCTGGGTCTCCATCCCGCTGTGGTAATACCCGCACCCGATCCGCTCCGCCAGCTTCTGGCTATCCTTCTTCGACCGGCAGTACACTACCCCTTCCTATCGCCGTTAAGCGACCCGGAGCTCTTCCTCTCCTCGACCAGTCGTACGACCTCCTCCTGCACCGCGTTTCCAACCTTCCGGCCTCTTCCTAGTCCGGCCCTACTTGGGACCGTAGTAACGGCGTACCGGATGTTCTTCTTCGTTGTCCGTGCCCGTATAATCTCGGCGTCTTCCGCAATCATCTGCTGCCGGAACCAGCCCTCTAGCTTCACCGGGAGCGTAGCTGTAAGCAAGATTACCGGACAGTCGTACCGGTACAGCCCCTTCAGCTCCACGAGCCTCTTCCGGTAGCCGACGTCCATGATAATCGTGTGGCACTCGTCGATGAAGATCCGCCGTAGTAGCCTCCGGCTCCGTAGCGTGTCTGCGTAGTTGCAGAACTCGTGGTTGCTTGCCTGGTCGGCGCTGACTACGACTAGACTAGCCACGCGCACGAGCGAGTTAGCTTCCCGGCCCTCCTCCTCAGCCGACCTCCAGCGTACGCAGTCGATCCCGAACGAGCGTGCCCGCGCGACGAGATCGTCGATCAGCGCTACGAACGGAACGACGACGATACTAACGCCGCCGTTTAACCCTCGTACCGCCGGGACCATAAATAGTAGACTCTTGCCGCCGCCCGTCGGTAGTACGACGATGAGTACGGAGCCGCCTCGCATCTGTATGATCCGGACCATGGCCTGCTCCTGTTCTGCCGTCCTCCAGCGCGCACCGGCCCCAATAATCGATTCGAGCCCGTGCTGGACCCGGCGCCGGACCTCCCCGACGGCTTCTGGGAGCGTCTTCCTCTGCTTCGCCGGCTCTGGGCTCGACTCTATCGTCTCCTCCCTACCTGGGAGTTCGGCCTCCGTAGACTCTCGCTTCCGCTTCCTCGTCCGCTTCTGCGCCTGGTCCGGCGACTTGCCCTTACCCTGGCTATCCCAGCTCAGATACTGGTGCCAGAGCCGGCTGATCTCGCGGTAGTTGGCGATCATCTGCGGCTGTAGCTGCCCTGGGAACTGGATGTTGATCGCGTAGTGCGATCGTGCCATGGCACTGCTGTGTGTCGCCTGCAGATCCCAGATTACCTCCGTCCGGTCCCTCGGTCGTAGCTCGCCAGTAGCCTCGTCGAATTCCTCATCCTCGGGCCCGTATCCGTCATCGGCCGCGCCGACCTCGAGCTCCTTCTGCTGTACGATAAGCCCCTGAATCGTACGGCCTAGCTCGATCGCGAGATGGCGGTACGTCGAAGTACCTAGCTCGACGCCGAGATAGCCCGCCGTAGCTGCCCTAAGCTCCTTCGTAAGCACGTCCGTTCCCCAGCGGCCTTTCCGGCCGTCCTTCCATAGCCAGTGCCGCAGCGATTCCGACGGTTTTCGAGCCCGAATCGCATCGAGAAGCATCTCCTCGAACGGGACTAGCCAGACGAGATAGACGACAAGTAGCTGCCCGACCCGTTCCGGGAGAAAGCGTGCGACCTTTCGGCCGTAGCCCCGGATCGACTTGGCCTTATCTCGGTCCGTTACGAGCATTACCTGCCCGTCGAAGATATAGACGCTCCGGCTTAGCTGCTTCGTATCTAGATACCGCACGCTCGTGATCTCGGGCCCTCGGCCTGGCTGGCCTCCCCAGACGTGCGTTAGTACGAGTAGCTGGCTCTTTAGCGTTCCGATCTGGTTTAGCCACTTCTGCGACCGCTCCCGGTGGTACTGCTGCCGCTGGGACGACCAGAGCCTCTCCGAAACGAGCTCGGCAACGACGCGGGGCCCGGCTTGAAGCCAGCTGTTCTGCGGGTTTGAGATGAACGATTTCCCACCCCCTTCGTACATTACGCTGTCGTTGATTTTGCTAAGCTCGATCCGTCCTAGTAGTACCGCCGACTGGCCGTACAGAAGCCCGTCGAGCGCCGATTCGGCTGTTGAGACGAGCCCCTGGGCCATCCGCCGGAAGTTCTGGACCTCGATCCGGAAGCCGTGTAGCCGGAGCGCCTGCTTCCCGTCCTCCCAGATAATCCGTGCTGCCCCCCCTTCCTTCTGGCGGTAGCCCTTTCCGATCGTTAAGAACCGGGTTAGCGTACTGAACGGGCTGTACGAGCCGTCTGCGATCCACTGCCGATAGCCGTCCATAAATACGTCGATATCCCTAGCCTGGAGCTGGCTACGCTCTTCGTCCTCCCCTTCGCCGGAGTCCGTAGTACTATCCTCTTCCTGGATCGGGACGTGCTCGAAGAAGTACTCTAGTAGTAGTACGCGGCTACACCACGCTAGACCCGCTAGTAGTGTTGTAAACTCGGCCGGCGGCCGAAATCGTGCTCGGACGGGGTCGATCGCGAGTACGGTAGTGAAGTGTAGTAGCGGGTTTACGTACGGTTGTACTAGTACCCGCTGCGTAAGCGACAGAACACAGAACGTGAAGACGGCCTCGTCTAGATATCCGTCGTCGCCGCCGCCCTCGCGATTCTCCTCCTCCTCGCCGCCGCCCCCTACCCGGGAGCTCTCCTCCTCCGTACTATCGAGAGCCTCTATAATAGCCTCGAGAGCGGCCCACTGCTGGTCGGTAAACTGGACCTGGTGCTTCCTCCTCGCCTCCGTACGGCCGAGCCGGAAGACCCGGACGCAGTAGCAGAGATAGCGCCGCCAGTAGCTCCGGTACTTCTCCATCGTATGCGCCTCCTGCTTAACGCGGAACGGCCGCGGCGACGGCCGGTTCGGGTCGCGGCTTGCTAGCCAGCAGAGCGTCTCCACGGGTACCTGGCCGATCCGCCGGCTACACCGCTCGATTACCCGGTTGAAGCTCTGGCCCAGCCGTACGAGCGTCGCCTCCGAAGCCTCCCTCTCTTTCCGGACGGACCAGCTTAGTTTAGCTAGCTCCTTCGTCGATAGACCTGGCTCGGCGGCGCGCCGTAGTTCCGCCATATCCTTGCCGGCCAGATGCGCCGCCCAGCCCATCTGGCTCACCCACGGCGACTCATAGTCGACGCCGGCCTCGTAGTCGATAATCCGGCCCCGCTCCGCCTCTTCGGCGGCCGCTTTAGCCTCGTACGCCGCCATGTGGGCCTCCCAGACTTGACCTCCGCCGCCGCTGTCCGGCCCCGCTGCCGCCGATTTGACTGCCCGTAGCTGGCCGCCCTTAAGCTGGTGCCTCTGTCGGTAGTGGGTAACTACACCACCTACGGCCGCTGCGATTCCTGCCCTACATAGTGTGCAGACTAGTACGCGGCTTGCCCGATATAGATAGAGCTCTGGTGTTACTGCTGGCTCGGTCGTTGCTGTAGCTCTCGCGTCCTCCTGCTGCTGCTGCTGCCGCTGCTGCGCGGCGCTGCCGTAATCGCTCTCGTAGTCGCCTCCCTGGCTGCTGCGGTCCATCGTGGAGTACTACCTGTCGTATGCGATTCTCTTCTCGGTACTACTTCTGATCTTCGACTCTTGCGTATATTCTTGGGAAGAGACCCTAAGCTAGTATTATAGTTCAATCGAAATGCGCGCGCGCGTCCGTTTCATTCTCCTCCTCCCTCTATCTCCTCTTACGCGCGTCCCCTCTCCCCTTTAGACTCCCCGGGCTCGCGCTGTTACGCGTACGCGCTTATCTCCTTTTTATTACCTATTACTTACCTTGTCCCCCTTTTCGCAGCAGTGCCTAGCCGTACACGCGTAGCTGAGCTGGGGGGGTTAAGGTTCGGACCCCTACTAGTTAGGGTTGGGTTAGCTAGGGGTTAGCACATTTACGCTGGCCGGAATGAACTCAGGGTACCGGAATGAACTTAATAGCCCGTACCCTTCCGGGCCGGGAATGACCTACCTCCGCCGCCGAACTACTACCGCCGCTAAACTACTATACCTCTGCCGAACTACTACCGCCGCCGAACTGCTACCGCCGCCGCCGCCGACCTACCTGCCGACCTCTGCCAGCCTGCCACGGCCAGACCCTATATATCCAAATAAGCAGCCAGTCTCTTAAGAACAAACAGGCCCGGTGGTCAAGCGGTAAGACGTCGCTAGCAATTGCTAAGCGGAATCCCTGGTTCAACTCCGGGCCGGATTACTGCGCCTACTTGAGAATCTCTTCGTCTCGTAGAGATTCTCAAGTGGGTAGCTCTTTTTGCCGGCACCCCTTCCTCCGCTTCGGAGGTATTTTCGCTATGTTAACTACCTGCCGACCTGCTACCGGCTCCGACGAACTGCCACTACTCCGCCGACCTGCTACCGCTGCCGCCGTACTACCTGCTGACCTGCCTGCCGGCCTGCCTGCCGACCAGCCTGCCGACCTGCCTGCCGACCTGCCTGCCTGCCTGAGCCTTATATATCCAAATAAGCGACTGACTATTCAACAAACAGCCAGAGAGCCTCGCTGGTCTAGCGGTCATGACGTCACTGCTATATAGCTCTCCATTCCCACGTCGGCCGCAGGAATAAGGGTCCCTGACCTGAGCTTGTGGAGCCATCCGACCCGGACGCTCGAGCTAGTCACAGTTGAAGAGCTAGGTTCGACTCCTAGGCGTGGCATTTTTTTGGCCCTCCTCTCTCTGCCTCTCTCTTTTGCGCGCGCCTCTGCCTGCCTGCTTGCTCTGGCAGTCGACGCGCCTCCCTCGTCGTCGTGCGGCCTGTGCATGTACGCATATGAGGGCGCGACTGGGCCCCACAGGTTCGGACCCCTGCTAGTTGGGGTTGGGCTTGGGGTTGGGTTAGCTGTGGGTTAGCCCATTTTTCGCTGGCCGGAATGAACTCAATCTGGGGTTAGTTGGGGTACCGGAATGGACTCAATGGCCCGTGCCCCCGGCCCCCTGTCCCACCAGGAATCGCCGAAAGTGAGGCCAACCCGGCCGGGAATGATGGTCAGGTCAGCCCACACGCGGTAGGGCAACGGAGTAGCCGACCGGGGACTAAATACTAACAAGGTACAAGTGCTAACGGGCCAGGTCCCCGACGTTACAGCCGGTCAGTCACATACCTATAAGAAGGCGTCCCCGGCTACGGTAGACAGCTAGACGGCAGCAACAACACCGACTATATGAGACACAAGCCCCTTCTCGACCGCGGCCCTCACAGCCACCGCCGCCGCCGCCCTCGTTACGGTCTAAGCGTAGCGGCGGAGGTCCGCCTCCTCAAGCGCAAGCGCCGCCACCGCCGTCGCCGCCGAGGCTGCCAGGCTCGCTACCGTTACCGCAACACTCAAGCGACTCGCTACGCTACCCCCGCCCGCCAAGTACATATCACAGCTCGCGGCAGAGCTACCCGAGGGCCGCGTCGTACTGCCCCGGGATGCCCCTAAGGCGTTCACAGCGGCCGTGGACGCGCACTTTGCGATGCAGAACCGCGGTGTTATTTTTAAGCCCACCTATATTCTCCAGCCGCATAAGATCGCGGAGCTAAGCATTACGGTACGCTACCTTACCCAGGAGCACGCCGTACGTAACACAGGCAGCAGCAGTAGCGGCAGCAGGACTAGCAACCAGGGGCTCTTTACAGTGCGCTACACAGGCGCAAACCCGGCGCAGGGCGTGGCCGGGGCCCGGGACGGCGTCCTACTCAACCTCTCGCGGCTGAGCAGCATAAGCCTCTCTACCGACCAGGCGGTCCTCAGCGTCGGCGGTGGCTGCATATAGGAGGCCGTCTACGACTATGCCGACTCGCGCGGCCTTACGGTCGTGGGCGGTCGCTCGACCCCCGTCGGCGTGGGCGGCTCGACGCTGGGCGGCGGTACGTCCTTCTTCTCTGGCCACTTTGGGTTTATCTGTTCGAATGTCGTGTATTACACGGTCGTCCTCGCCGACTTCGTTCCGACGTGTAGCGCGTCGCGTACGTGGAGGAGTCGATCCGCCATTTCTCGAACATTACCTAACCGCGGTGGAAACGATCGCGAATCTAGGTCGATTATATATCGTACGATACTGTCCTCTTCGTACGAGGTTAATTTCTGGTAGGGTGGTTGGATATCGCGTTTCGCAGCTTGGCCGTTTCGTCGTCGTGAGAGGGTCGTATGGGATATATTATAGAGTAGTGCAGCCTTTCGTACGCTTAATTTTAGGTTTGAATGGAGCGCATTAAGCGCTAGGATAAGGTCGCTTTCATTTGATTGTCGTCCTATTATTGTTAGTAGAGAAAAGGAGGAAAGGAAATGGGGGGTTAAGAATGGGCGGAAAGTATTTATTCACTTGGGTATCTTAGTTACTTGTGGATTACGTTAATACTCTACTATTATTCTCTCTCTAGGTTATTATTCGTATCTCTTGGAAGAGATACTAGTCTCGGTAATTAAGTAACTAGTTTAAGTGTAACGTAATCCACAAGTGGGTGAATCACACAAGTGGATGAATCAGTTATCGGGTACTCGTACGACAATATATAAGTCAATTCAACCATAACGCCTCAAATCAATTCAAACTATTCGGAATCCTCTTCTTCAGAGGCAGATATAACTTTCTGACACGTACGAGCATTATGCCCGGGCTCGCCGCAGACGCCACATCGTCGCGCGCGCGTTTCGGGCCTCCTCGTACGACCACTATTTTGACTCGTTTCCGCTATTAACTGCTGCGTCGCATCGATTTGAGCCTTCAAATCCTTTGCCTGATCAATTGTGAGGGACCCTCCTTTCTGTAGCTGCTTTCTTTTCGTACGACGACGGCGGCTGAGGCGGTCGTTTGCATCTCGAAGTTCGGCGATTTCTTGGCGCATAAGGTCCTGCTCGTGCACCATCATTATAACTCCTTTTCTTAGCTGTCGTAGGCCCTGAACAATGGACGACGGAGAGCTATTCTGGTGTCGTACGATACGATTTTCAATATACTTCGTCTGCGATTCGGTCTCAATTGGGTTGTTCGGCGTCTTTGAAACCCATGGGGGTGGTAGTCCAGCAGAGGAACCTGGCGGTGTCGGCGTATGAAACTTCACATCTAGCTGCGAAATCACATAATTCGGGTCGTACGGTACTAGGCCTGTCGCTCTGAAGCCTGCCTGGATGTTTGATTTGGTCATTGCAGCGTCGTACGCCTTATAAAAGGCTGGGAGGAAGTCCTCCTTTGAAACGTGGGTTACGTGCGCCCGCATTAGACCTTCGATTTCTTTACCGTACGCCCGTTTCAGAGGTCCAAAACACCCAACATCGAGAGGCTGGAGCTTATGCGACGAATGAGCAGGCATACAGAGCGTAACAATATTCTGTTCCTTACAGTAGAGCTCGAAATCGACGGAATGGTGGCTCTCGTGGCCGTCGAGGATAAGGAGGCGGTGGGTACCCTTCGTACGACTCTTTGTATGGAAATCAAAGTGTTTTACCCATTCTAGGCCTCTCTCGTTCGTCGTCCAACCGTTTTCTGAAAGCGCGATTACCCAGTTGGCCGGTAGAGGGCTATTCGCGGTCCAGGAGTCGAGGTGGACCTTCCCGGCGAAGATAATGTACGGCGGGATTGAATAGCCGTACGACGCGATACCCTGGATTACTGTAACCCATTCCTGATTGCCTTGTTGTACGGCTCTTGGCCTCCCGCGTCGATCGGAGGTCGTAACGACAGTTTCGGCGGAGATTTTACCCATCGCGAAGCCCGTTTCGTCGAAGTTGTAGATATCGTCATCGTGGATCCCGTATTTCGCGATTATGTTTTGTACGAGCCCAAACCACGCGCGATACGCGTCTGGATCTTCGCAGAGGACTCTCTGGTAGTCGATTCTTCGATTAAAACGCGTACGGAGCTCTGATCGTCGTCGTACGAAGTTTGAGGCCCAGTTCGTTCCGACGCGTGGCGCGTCGCGCACGCGGAGGAGTCGATCCGCCATTTCTCGAACACCACCTAACCGCGGTGGAAACGATCGCGAATCTAGGTCGATTATATATCGTACGATACTGTCCTCTTCGTACGAGGTCAATTTCTGGCAAGGTGGTCGGATATCTTGTTGCGCAGGTCGGCCGTGTTGTCGACGTTGGAGGGTTGAGAAGGATACATTATAGATCTGTGCAGCCTTTCGTACGCTCAATTCTGGGTTCGATTGAAGCGCATTTAGCGCGAGAACTAAATCGCTTTTATTTGATTGTCGTACCATAATTATTGGTGGAGAAAAGGGGGAAAGAAGACAGCCTGTACGAAAGTGGCGGGGGACTGATTCATCCACTTGTGTGATTCACCCACTTGTGGATTACGTTAGGTAAAACTAATACTTAGATTAATCGCTAAAGTATAAAGGTAATAACTATCTATCTAGGAGATCCTCCGTCCTGGGACTGGTTTGTCCCGGGACCGTCTATCCCTAGTCCTGGGACCTGCTGACGTAACTTGGGGTGTGTCTCCCCGCGTGGATGATCCGCCCTTGTCCCTGGCCCAATCTTGCGACCTGTTGGTCGGGTCGTTACATATACCTCCTTATAATATCTTATAAGAGATACGAATAATAACCCTCGAGAATACGATAAGTACGGAGTTAGTATTATATGAGGCTATTACCTGCCTTATTCAGAATATAACCCCCAGCGCCCGGTCAGACGGTTAACCCCGGAGATCGGATCGTAACACAGCCGTTTCCCCTACTCAACCTTAGAGAGTTGTAAGCACAGCCCACTATGGCCTACTAACGTAAACGGGGCCCAGTAGAAAGGGTGCGAGTAGTCGACCGACTCATCCTCGTCTCTAATAACTCTATCCAGAGTGTCCAGGATCCTCTCCAAGTGGCGTGGCTTAACAAGGCCTACGCCTAGCCCCCGGAGGACAGACCTGAAGCCCTCGAGAACTGCAACAGCTGCGGCCGTATCTGTGTGATACAGCTTGGCCTGCGCCTTGCGCCAGCAGCTCGCGAGGCTGCAGGGAGCTCCGGCCGTCGCAGTCAGCTCGCCGAAGAAGAACGAGATGAGCAGCGCGGAGGCCTTGTCCGAGACCTCCCACAGAGCGCCGAGGAACGCGCTCGCGCCCGACGACAGTACCGAGTGCGCGAAGCCGAGCACGTCACTGCCCCCTCCCGAAGACTCGCCCACGCCGCTCATACACGCCTCGAAGACCACGAGAGCCGCCCAACCCTGCAGCCGCACGAGCTCGACGACGGGGAACTCCTTCTGCAGCCGGATGTTTGACCGCCACGCCGACGCCTCACTCTGTGACCCGTGCGTCCCGATCAGCATGACGTCGGCCACCTCAAAGTCCCTCTTGAAGCTGTCCGCGTCGGTCTCATGAGCAGCCCTCAGCTTGCAGGCCAGCTTCTGTGAAATATCGATGGCGGCGGCGGCCGAGATGTTGAGAGGCACGGTCTGCTCCCGCAGGGGAGCCCTGTAGATGACGACGCAGTTCTTGCTGCCGCTGCTGCTGCCGTGGGTCCTCCCGCGTTCCCTCTCCATGAGGCGCTGCAGCACTGAGAGGCTGGGGACCATGGACACGGCCTTTTCCAGAAAGAGCGGCCGATCTTTGAAGAGAAGCGCCGAAAAGGGGAATCTATTGAGCGACAGCGTCGGCACAAAGATAACGTGCGCCTTGCGCGCTATAATATCGTTCCCCGGCGTGACGATTTCGCGAGACAGCCCCTGCAGTAGGTCGTTACACGTCTGCTTTGGCGGGAGGCCGAGGGTAGCGACGTGCTTGAATGGCTTGAGATAGCCCAGAACCTGCCTTTCCATCTGTTGATCCGTGAGCAGGCTGGAGTGCGCCAGCTCGATTCCGTCGTGGGTGATATAGAGGATCAGGGTGCCCTGACGCGAGGGGTTGATGTGGACAACCACTGTACCGTCAGAGATGGCCGAGTAACGCGTGGCCAAATCAGTGCGGAAATGCGGAGTGTGGAACTCCTGTAAGATTATAGCCCGGTCTACCGACTCAGCTTCCATCTGCAAGTCACTGCTAAGCTTCGACAGGTATGTCTCGGCGTCCTCGTCTTCGCCGTGACTCGCTACCTGTGCAGGCTCTGGGACGAGCTCTGCCTGGCGCATCTGATATGTCCACTCGAGGAAGTCTTCCGATACTCCCTCTGGGGTCAGCATGTCTAGGAGCACCCGGGCCCGACCCTGTTCCAGAAAGAGCAGCGCTTCGTCCACCCAGGTCGGGCCGTGAAAGGTCCACGATCCCTTGGAGCGGCTCGGCTTGCTCGGCTGACCCGGCTTGGAGAAGCCTACGCAAAGCCTGGCCAGGCCGGCAAACAGTTCCGCAGTATAGATGACGTCGAGGAATCTTCTTCGCTCCTCCGTGTCTCTCATCTTGGCCCGGGTCGTCTCAAGCACGTGGAGCGCCCTGAGGTACCAGTCGAACGCCGACGCACTTGATCCGCAGTGCTCTTCGATCTGAGCGATGCAGACCATGTTGGACCAGCTCTTATCTCCCTGTATGGACTCGATGGCGCCCAGAAATTCTGGATCGTGGCGCCAGATACCCTTCAGTACCTCCGCGCCCAGCGCGAAGTATTGCGTTACAAAACACAGCGCGAGGGCCTTCTCGGCGTGCCTCCGGTTATTGTCCCGGTTCAATGCCACTAGAGTCTCGCTCGCTTGTCCGAACATGGCCTGGAAGTAATCGTTGGCGCTGCGCGAACGGCCCCCGAACATGGTCGGAATCGAGCTGGGAAGCCACTCGCGGGCTTCCTCATATCTTTCGAGGTAGTTACAGAGGACCGCCTTCATGACATCCATGCTGTCCGACTTGCTGAGAGAAGGGTCTTGTAGCAAGTTGAGAACAGTCTCGAGGTATTTTCTGCCCTCGGCCCAGTCGCAGCGCAACGACAGGGCTTCTCTGCGCAGCTTGATCGCTCTGTCGAACGCGCTTCGGAAACTCTCGTTCATGTTCAAGGAGTCTCTGAGAGACCCAAGCAGCGACTCCACGCTCCGACCAGTGATGGGGTCGGGGGATAGATGGTACGGATTTCGTCTCCCCGGGCCGCCACCGGGGTAGCCGCTCTCAGCATTAGCCTGGCTGTCAAAGAACAGATCCAAGATGTTCTTGAACTGGGTCCCATACGGCGTCTGTTGCGAAGCAGTCGTCCACGCATCCGCCCTCGGATGGTTCTGGTGTATGGACGCAGCGGCCGTGTTGAACTCAGAGACCCGGTTGTCTTTGGCGACCGTTATGAGCCGCTTGTCTCGACCATCGGTGGCGTCGCGAAACATCTGGTCCATCCGATCGATGAGCCGAGCCAACGTGTCTTGGCCCGCGTCGATGTAGGATCGTGCTATCTCCATGTTGCCATGTCGCTGGTGCAGCTTAGCGTGGGCGATGACGGCGTCGAGCTCTAGAAACGGGTCCTCAAGCGCATGGAAGCAAGATCGAGCGCAGGCGCAGCACTGGGATGCGGCGCGCAGGTTTCGAGTCTGCTGGGCGAGCCTCCTCGCGACACTCAGGAAGAGCAGTCCCGCTACTCGAGCAACCACGACGTTGGCATTCTCCCGTCCCCAGCTGCCTATGCCTGTGGCCGTGCTGAGGATCCGAGTGGTGTCGTCGTCGTCACACTCCAGTGGCTCGGAACGGGGCCCGCACGAGACAAATATCTCGAGCACTACTTGTTGAGCGAGAACGATCTGCGTCATGGTGCCATTGCCTTGGTACAGGCCTAGTGCACTGGTGAGGTGCAGGTTCCCCCTCTCAGCCAACGCGCTCAGCTGAGATGAAGTCGTCGCATCCTCCCCTGTGGGTGAAACCAGAGCCTGCATATATTCAGCCGAGGCAATGCAGCCCCGTCGGAGATGGATCGCGGCCATACCATAGCCGCAACCAGCCGCTTCAAACAGATGAAGTGCCTCTTGGTAGTGTTTCTCAGCCTCGATGTCGCTCCGCAAGGGGTAGTCTCTCTCAATGGACTCTCGCCACTCTGTCTTTAATGCGCCTAAGTTTCCTTTGGGGTTGTTCAAGACAAGATTCAAGACGATGGGGCTGGTGAATGGCACCGCGAGACGATTATCGCCCAAGAGCAGCTGGCAGGCGGCAGCTCCAGCCAGGTCTGAGCTGTCCAAACACACATTGTACAAACTCGTGGCTTCTTGGACTCCCTGTTCGGACGCTCCGGCAAGGAGGTACTCGATGTTCAGTCTCCTAAAGTATCGAGATACAGACCCCAGACCGAGCTGTCGGGCGTCCCAAATGACAAGAGATAAGAAACCCAAGCCTGAATCGAAGAGCCGAGCCGTAAAGCGGTCGTGGAACCTCGGGTGATGTGGGAATGCTCTCACCAAAAGATTCGAGGGAAACTTCAAGTACTGGTCGATACAATCACTCTCGAGCCTGCCCAAAACACTTGTATCCCGCGGCCGAACCGCTCTTTGCAATAGAGCGTCCATGTCTTGGCCGGAGTCTACAAACTCTGTTGTGCTGAAAGGACCCCAATAGCCCTTTTCATCGTGGTGGAATCGCAGCTCTGGAGGGTGCCGCTTTAAGCTGTCCAGGAACTTTTGGTACACCTCGCACCGAGAGACCAAGTTTGGATCGCCAGCATCTCGAGCAGCGCAGAGCCCCTTGCTCAGGTGCGCCTCCGATGATGCAAGCTCCCCGCGCCCAGTGCTCCACAGCGCTTGCAAGAGGCATCTCGCAACATCACCCTCGATGGAGGACGGGAGTGCTGACTCCAAGGTTCTCTCACCCTCAAGGGCCTCCTGGTTCTGAGTATGGAAATCCTCGGGGAAGATGGATCCTCCGAGTAGAACTGATAACTGTTTGAAATCCATCAAGAACGTGCGGATATGGGGTTTGCCTTGAGACCCAGCGTCACACCTCTCATTCAGTCGGGACTGCTTTTAAATACTTCAAACTGTAAGCGGACCAGATAAAGTGGAACAATGCATTCCCCTAGACTGAGTGTTTGACAGTCTTGAACGATACGAAGCTGACGCGTCGTGGCTTCAAGCATGTGAAGCAAAGAGGAAGGATCATTGCTTGACTTTGTCCGAAGCCTGGCATCCAACTCTGACAAGTAGTACGCTAGACCGGTCGAGAATCTCAAGTGTCCGGTTCTGTGTTACAGAGGTGCAGCTGGAGCTTGCTTTTGCCAGCATGCCCATTGGACAGACGGCTTTGAAGACATGTTCTGTGACTTATCAGAGCAAGGCTTCCCTCCAACATCCAAGTTGGCACTGGTGTGAGGGAGCAAAGCGAGCTCATTGCTCAAGCCAACGCCCCTCCGATAGCTTGCAGGGTTAATTGCGAGGAGGTGCGCTGGAGACGTTCAAACTAGCCATCATCGGTCCCGAGGCTGGTAAATTGGATGTTAATGCGTTAAGTGGCGTCAAGACCTAGAGAATAGTCAGAGGGGGATAGGATGGAGACTCTCTTCATAAAGCTAGGGGTTGACATCTTGTAGAGCAAAATAAAGAGATATCATTGCTTTCCGTCTTGCAACACTTGCTCGATCACTATAGTAAAGAGCACACCAAAAACTACCCTGCCACGATGCGCCCGAGGGAAGAGCCGACATTCTATTGTACAAGATCGGATACCCTCCCGAACAGATTACTTTGGGGACCCTGGTGTACGAGAACTACGCGACCCCGGATATTCGGTGTGCCACCTTCCCTAAGATCAAGTAAGTCTGAAATCTTTGGCTTGAGCGTAAAGCGATTCTAACCAGTTCAGTGAGAAAGAGACACAAGAAGAGGGCTTAGTTCACGTCTCAGAAGTTCTGGGAAGCTGGGCTGCCGTGAAACATTCGAGATTCGGTTTCGGGGTGGAAGCTCTGGACCTGGCATCCATTAACAGCGAGTATGCTAAGAACTTGAGCAAAATAATCGTCGCCGACAAAGGCCGTCGCGTAGTTCTAGACGAGTAAATGGCATCTGACGTCCATGTCCTCGGCCGCAGCTAACATATTGCAGTCCCTTCCGCTTCTTTACAGAGCGCGTGTTACAGGACGAAGGAATTCGAAACAAACTGTCCCTATGGCTTACAGCAGCAAAAAGCTCGTATCTGTTCAAGAAGGCTACGTACCAGAGACCAAAGGTGTACTGCGTGACAGGGTACTACGAGCTAACGGGCGTCCGGGCACGAACCGCAGCCAGCAACGAGATTATCACGTCAGCACATGTCAGCTCACAGGTAGTGGGCGCAGCCGCTGGAATCCCTATTGGAGCGGAAATTGGCCCCTTTGCCAACGGCACGTCCCTTAAGGCGAATATTGTTATGCCAGGCGCAGCCATCTGGGCAGCGAGATTCCATCAGCTTGACGTAAAATATATCAAGATGGCCATCGAAGGGCGTGTGGAATTGCCCAATACTATTATGCTGCGAACCGATATGACGTATCCAGGCGGGGTTCTCATGAATGACGGTCCTGTCCGAGGCGAGAACGAGGAGGTCGATGGAGTACAAGTCAAGGAGGCAACTGCAGTTAGATTGCGACTGTCATCTCTGGCAGAAGAACTGACTGAGGGTGAACCCGATGGAAGCTACTCGGCTGCGCTTGCGGAGGCAGAGAATCGACTTATTCGCGACGAAGGGGATAGTGAAGAAGATGAATGACTTTTTTGCACAGGTTGGGGAAGATGTGGTAGGATCTCTTTGCGTTCTTTAGGACGGGTTCATCATTATCTCAAGGGCAGGTGTTGAGAGGAATCGACTACATTGCTCTTTCTTTTTACTCTTTCTTCGGTCTGTAGCTACTTACTACCGCGGGCTCCTCGTCCATACTTTGGCCTCGCTTTGGGCGGCCCGTTGTTAAAGCTGCCTGCCTAATCGAAACACTTCAGCACACCGTATTTTCAGGAGGCTCAGTGGGTTCTCAAATCGTCTCCTCGGTGAAAATGCACACTTCTAAAGACAGAAATCCTAATGTGTCACGTTTCTCATTAGGCAATAGTGGCTAATACTGAAGAGATTAAGATTTGGACATCCTATACGGTTCTATGTAGTCTTCGTGGATCTATGTTCTGGGCAGGTCCGTGACATGCGGTCACGCACTCGGCGCATGACATCCCGCCACGACAAGCCCGAGTCGACGGAAGCCCTTAGCGTGTCCGAGAGTCCTTCCGTTAGAACTCCCATGCTCTCACCGTTCTCGAATTGCTTCTCAAAGGCGGATTCGGAAATTGCCGCGCCGACGACCGAGATGACGTATGGGTTGCGCTCATAATGCCAGTCGTTCCTGGACAGCAACCCCGGCAGTATTTTCTTGATATGTGACATGACATGTCGGTAATTGTTGGGATCGATGGTTTTGACCGAGGTAGGGCCCCGCGCCATATGTGCGGCGTGACAACAGTCGAGGATGATAGTCATTTTTTGGTCTTTTGCGTAGTCTGAGATAGCAGATCCGTTATCTCTGCATCCGATATGCCTCTCCAGTCTCCATCCTTCGTTTCTTCGAAGTCAACCGGAACGAGATACTGCAGCCTGCGCTGTTGATTGCTCGGTTCCGGTCCGTCGGCTTCGGGAAGACCTCCATGGCCGGAATAGTAGATGACTACCGCGTTAGATGGCCCCGTCTGCTCTATGAGCTCCTGCCATGCAGAAATGATGCCTGATCTTGTCGCTGGATAAGGGCCATCGTCGCTTCCGAGGCAATTTTGGACTGTAAACTCATAAAGCAACAGAACTTATTCCATTTCACGGAAATCGTTGACAGGACCTACCAGAGGGGTAGACGGAGGATCCGATAAGCAGGGCGCGAGAGACAGGGTGATCTAATAGAAAATAGGACGTAGTGCCATAGAGGCTGTGTGCATGCTCGTCACAAGTCCGGTGGCCTTTACATGGAGCATGCAGAAGGTTGAGGCAGTGGCCCCCTATTACGAGACTATTCTGAGGTCTAATAGCTCTCCATTAACGACATGTGGGACCGATTTCGCAAGCTAAGAAGGGTATTGATGTGTCATAATGGTGAATGCCAAGGCACACGACGCACCTGTGGCTGCGACGGATACCGCCCCGGCCCAGTAGAATCGTACTGGCACAGGTCACCGGTTATTTATGCACGCAAAGCAGGATTTGAGCTAGTTCCAATGGCGATGGCCCCCCTTGCAACCCCCTTCTCATGATACACGGAACTTTCGGAAGCCTTCCATGAGAATGGTTCGACATTGGAACATGCTCGATGTTGCATCATCCACTGTAGTAGCTCCATCCAGGACCTCCCACATAGCTGAATCCCTGTCCATCACTACCCCCGTAGTGCCCCATGCTCGTTGACCAACTGTGGCTGCCACCAGTGCCGCCACCGGCATCAGCCGAAGCGTGCAAATTCAGGCGGCCGAGAACAACGGGATTTCCTTCTGCTCCGTAGCTACCGTCAGCATTGACCCACCAACGTCCAGGCATCACAACTACTCCTGCTCTCTGCAGACCTGCGACATCCACGCTGTGAATCTGGCGGCCGTTGATAAACACTCCCGTGCCAGTATTGCCGGAGGCATCCGGGGCAAGTTGCCCACCGCCAAGAGGTAGGCCAGGCGACAGGCAGCCGCTGCAAGGCCCTTGCAGTACCCCGTAAGCTCCACTGCGGCGATCGTACCTAGTCTTGCACTTAGTTCTATCACAAACTCGAAGAGGGCACCTTACTAGTGAAGCCCTTACCAGTAAGACCCCGGCATAACAACCCCAACCAGCGCCTGGAGGCTCATGATGTCTGTCTGTCCAAGACTGACTCCGTTGACAATGACCTGGCCGGCAGAGGAGGGTACAGAGGAGGATTGCCGGGAAGTCGCCGGTGTGTTCTGATCAAGGAACAAAAGGGTTGACATTGCTGGTGCCAGGGATTCCATAAATGCGACCTTTGCGATACTTCCCAGGGTGGAGGTCCACGATGAGCGCCTGCTACTTGACTGGGGGGCGTCGGAGTTTGTGCTTGCCTGTCCCGAAGGCACGGGCATGCGGGGAGGGATCTGGGCGCCAAAACCATACGTACTAGGAGGGCTTGGCTGACCCAGGGAACTGGGTCTACCCTCAACGGAGTGCGAAATTCCAGGGGCAAGTCCCGGGGTTGGGACTTCGGTGCGCCGCGGCGGCAGAGGCACCGTTTGGATGGGTACTAGAGGGGGCGGAGACACTGTTTGGGTAGAGGATGAAGAGGCAGGGGGTGCAGTCTGGGCGAAAGTCGAGGTGAGAAGCGGCCTTGTGTCAACAGGGATTTGAGAGACGGAAGGCGTAGCTTTGCTGGGCCGTGGGGGAAGGGGAGGCGCGGCGGTCTCCGGCTCAGATGTCACTGAGCTGGCCGGCGCCATTGGACCAAAGTGCAGGTAGAACGGATTCGGCTCGTTTTGCGCCATGTTGAATAGCTTCTTTGACATTGAAGTTACAGAGCGGCAATATGAGGATTGAGGAGGTGTCCGAGACCAGGGTCGTCGTCTTATATTCATTTGATGTGCTTCCATTTTACGAAGCCTCCAGGCAATCACCACGGGTCCGTCTCCCGGCAGGCCGGCACACCATTATGTCGCCCTTCGGGGCTATCATTACTGTCGTCAGAGGCGAGCCCGGCTGAGCAATCATTTGGGAGAGAAACAGCTGCACCTACCTGTGAGTGTGGGGCAACATCACGCCACATCCGGAACCTGCCGTGGAGGAGGTGGGGCTCGGTGCACATAAGTAGCTTGTGTGGATTTCGTGGTGGGCGTCTAGTCTGAGCATGGGGTGACTGGTGCCTGTATGCTGATAACCTGCTTCTATTAGTTACCTATTGTGGGGGTCGAAATATCTACAGGCCCTGACACAGAAATTTCCCACTTAGACAATAATTACAACCCAGTTTTTCTACCACCACAGTGCAGTGTGTGTGTGGCTGTTCCAGTCCCGTCACTACCTTACCTACCAGCTATCTTATTTGCGGCATCCTTTCATGGGCCATTCGCGCCTTGATCGCCATTTTGCGTCTCAAATTCGAAGGGAGTTGTATGAGTACAAGCTCTCATTAGCTGGCGGTTCTCAGTTACAAGGACTCTACTTCAAGGCGTCGAGGGCGGCCGTGAAGTGGGATCAAAGTTGCAGCCCGACTGATCGAGGGCCGTCGCACTCACAGCACTTGGAGAAGGCGTTTAGGGCACTGGAGAGGGGGAAAGCCCGCAGCTTACTTGACTTAATGGCGGTTGGAACATTGATGTATGCCGGATTTGCACCGTCCGAACTTCGCGAGTGGGATGAGTACAGGCAGACTAGCGCCTGCATTGCCGCCAAGCGTGGTGTGCTTCGACAGCTATATGGATCAGAACACCCCGATAAGGACAGAATCAACAAGTTGGAGGCAGACATTTCGGAGGCTACACAGAGACAGAATCGACAAGAGGAATGCCTATTCGCCGAAAAGTCCCCTTTAGCCCGGAGTTTCGTCACCACTTCAGGTTACTGACACCCAAACGCTCCGATTCAACATCAACAAGGATACAGCTGTCCCAGAGTACTCATACCGAGACGATGACTTCATCGCATTAACTGTAGAAGGCGTCACAGAGATTCACCGTTCAGTCTCCGAAATAGAACTTGACCTGCGAATCAGAGGGTTTCGGCAGCAATGTCAGTCATCTTCGCCAGACCTCGGGTCTGGACGGACACAGCCTATGGATGGGCAGTGGCTTTCAGAAATCCTGTTCCCGTTCGAAGAAATCACTGACAAGTCCCATATCACCATTGTTGCCTATCGAGCCCTCCATACCCTTCCTTTCCATACTTTGCCCTTCAAGGGGAGCTCGCTACTGGCGACATATTCGGTGTCCTACCTACCTAGTGCGAGCTACATCACTTACTTAAAACCATCCGACAAAGACCGCGTGGGTTCCAAACTACTCGCCGTCGGAAATCCCTCAAATATAAAACATTACGACATCGTGTCGGGGACGTCACAGAGCCTGAGGGAACTGCGGTTTGCTGAGGCGGAGGCAACATATGTCGCCTAATCAACGCTACAAGCAAGTTACTTGTGGGCGATGCAGCCACTAAGCAAGCCGTCACGGACGCGGTGGGAGAATATGACATATTGCATTTCGCGATGCACGGGGTGTTGTGCCGTGAGGTCCCGATGATGTCGTCCGTTGTCCTCGCGGACGGCGAGGAGTTCACGGTCAGCGAACTGCTGGGCCGGCGACTTATCTTATGGTGTTGAGCACCTGTAATACTAGCGTGTGACAACCCACCGACGGCGATGATGTCGTGGGATTTTCCCGGTCGCTGCTAGCGGCTGGCGTCAAGAATGTCGTCGTCAGCCTCTGGCCGAATCGAGGGTACCATAGTTGTTTTTAAAAACTTAGTAACTACTTGATCTAGGAATAAGAAATTATTAGAGGAGGTAGATTACTCTTATCGTTTACTAACGGACTTAAGTAGAGCTTTATATCTTTTAAGCTAAGGAAGTTATAAGTATTTAAAGATTCTAAGATAAGCGGCGATAAGAAATGGCCGGATCACTTGTGTGGCCGGGTCACTTGTGGACTACGTTACCCTCCTTATAAAAGAAATTTGGTACTCTAGGAGAGTACCAAGTTTTCTACGTATAGGTACTTAAGTATATCCGCTAAGACAGCCCTTCATATTCTCCGTTCAGCTATCGCTTACCCAAAGCTCGTACTTCGACGATAACACTTGACCAATAGACAACCTTCAGCCCCGCACCACCAACAAGCAGATTGCGCGCAAAAGCCCATACCAGGGTAGCAAGCAAAATTCTGCGATGGAGAACAGTAGCGATGGACCACTACGCGTGCCTGGAATGGGAGACATTCCTCTGGATAAGGGGCTCCCCATCACGGACCGTTTCGCGCACGGCTTTTGCGAATGGGAGCAAGTCCCCACAGTAACCCAGCGCGAGTTCACCATGGTGGCCGTCATGAACGACCTCACAGACAAGCCGGACTGGCAGACCGGGATATTTCGACAAGAGAGAGTGGACCACTGGCGTGGCGACATCTTCGCTGCGAGACCTCTGATGAGCGACCGGGCCTGGGAATGGTGTGTGTCGGAGCTGCGCGACAAGGCGGGCTACTACAGCACACATGGATTTATTCACGTCCTGGACACTGGCTCGCGTGTTTGCAAGTCGGACGCCTTAGTTTCGCCAAAGCTACTCGCCGAGATCCGAGGAGCATGTCAGTCATTGTTGCCGACGCAGGCTGAGGGGCAGAGCTGCACGAACGGCGTCGTCTCACTGATTGATCCGTCATTATATCCCTTGGTTTGGGGAAGGAGTCTAATCAGAGACGATGGCGGTCATTCCACGGTCACACAGGCACCGGCACACGAAGACAAAAGAACCGGGATCGGCAATGTGCAAGAGCGCATGGATACCGCCCTACGGGGTGCATATCCCGAGCCTTGGCACTATGCTTTCGAAGAGGAGGATCGAAGCGAGTACTCTGCCTATTTCTGGTCGTATAGACACCAATGGCTCCCAGCCGAGATCGAGTTCAGCGAGGCCGAAGGTACTGCCATGCGATTCACTTCGTACATCAATGGTCTTGATCAGGACAACAAAACTCTCGACCGACCTCTAGCAGAACTCGTCTCGGCATGTATAGCACCGTGGAACGATTGTCTTATCGAGGGCCGAGCAGGATGGGATGAGGACTGGGACTATCTACCGGAAAGCCCGGCACTCGGCTGGGCGCCGCCTGGTAATGTCCGGCCGCAGCGCGGACGCACGCCCTGTCGGATCATCACGTATGGACCTCAATGGGACAACGAAGCTCCAGAATGGATCGCTCTCTTTGATCAGCACCGCCGGAAAAGGGTCGCCAAGTACATGGCCCTGAAGGCCGAAATCGAGATGATAAAGTCACAGAAGCCGCCGCGGGATGCGGACGCCGGCTCCAAGAAGAAGCACAAATTACGGCTGGCGGTTGCGGAATGGGCTTTGGCGCATAACAAGGACCAGGAAGTCGTCGGCCTTGAGCAGCTGCCTGAACCTACTGCCGAGCAATGGACCATGGCAAAAGAGTATCTCGAACGCCCGGAGCCTGGTACGGACGCCCCTGTGGTGCTGCCTGAGAGCTGGGAACGATCGGCTGGAATTTTGCTGGGCCGTAAGACGCGCCGCCTGATTCGGCTTAAGCACCCAGAGCCCGGTACAGCGTTTTCGTACGAGGAATGGAAGAATGGCACCCATGGCGGAAAGGCCATTGTGGACATGGTCACTGACAGACCAATCAGACCTGACAAGCCGCCTGCCAGCACGCCTCATGAACCCTACACCATCTCCCTTGAGGACAAGTTTCGAAGCCAGGGCCTTCAGGTGATCGTCCGTGCTGATAGCATCACTTTGGACGCCGGACGCGAGAAAGTGGCGGAATTTGTGGGGAGCAGCTGGAGTCTGGCCGGCCAACCGAATGAGCACGTTGTTGCCATCGCCCTGCTCGCATACGACGTCGACAACGTCACCGACGTACGTGTCTCCTTTCGACAACAGACTGACATCAGGGAAAACACGTACAATTACGGCCAAGGCGGTCTCCACCAGGAGGCTGCGACCTTCAGCGTGTTCAAAATGCCGGCTCACACGTGGTTCAAAGCTAGTCTTGAAAAAGCTCTGTGCGACATCTTTGGCTTTGATGAAGCAGAAATCGCGGGTCATACACCCACATTTCCAATGGAGATGCAGGAGCTGGGCAGCGTCGCGTTGGCAAAAGGCCGACTAATTGCATTTCCCAACACCATGGAACACCGCATAGGGCCGTTCAGCCTTCAGGACGAGAGCAAGAAGGTGGGACACGTCAGGTGGATCACGCTGATGTTGGTGGATCCACATTACCGGATTTGTTCCACGAGGAACGTGCCCTCACAGCAGGGTGACTTTAGCAGGGAAGAAGCCGCGGGGTACAAGAGGGACATGGAAAAGGAGCATGCTTTGGCGGACTTTGCAAGATACAGAGAAATTGGAAAGTTTTTCTTTGCTTGATGTATGTGGGATTCACCGTCTACCCTCACTGAATTATCTACAAGAAGATTCGAGAAATAGTAAGATTCTGAGTGAGTCAATGGGTTAACCAGGAAGGCGGGCGGGCCATTTTATAATTTGGGTGCCGTGGTTGCCCACGTACCGTACGACGAGCCAAACGAAATGACGGTGGAAGCCACGGCCGTCCCGCACGCACCATTGGAACAATCCCGAATTCCATTGCCGAAGTTGACATTACGGCACAGACAAGCCGGATCGGGCTTAGAACAGCCCAGAGCCGAGTACTGCGCAATCAGGTTGTTCATGCAGGTCTGTCCGCAGGGCGGAAGGCTGGCGATGCTAGTGGTGGTAGACGTGGCGGGAAATGTCGTCTTGGCGGCGGTGGCTATGGAGCACATCGAGGAGCCAAAGGCAATGACCGTCGAGCCGATGGCCGAGCCACACGTGCTGTTGGAGCAATCGCGGAGGCCGTTACCGAAGTTGACGTTGCGGCAGAGGCAGGCCGGGTCGGCGGACGTGCAGCCTAGGGCCTTGTATTGGGCAAGCATGTTGTTCCAGCAGGTCTATTCACAGGACGATAGGTTTGATACCGGCAGCGAGGTCGGTGTTGCAGAGGTTGCTGTCTTCATCGATGTGATGGTGAAGGCCTGAAGGTAACGCCAGAGGAGGACGAAGACTTGGAGGTGACGACAGAGAATGACGATGTCGACTTGGAGGAAGAGGACGAAGTTGTGGACACGGGCATGGAGGTGGACGCGCGAGAGGCGGGTGAGGGGGTCGTCGTGGTAATGGCAGCAGATGATGTGGTGGAGGCTGAGGGAGTTCCCACAGGAACGGCGGTGAAGCCTTCAAAGGCTTTGGCAGAGATGACCGCTCCGTCCTCGCGAACAGTTCTGGGGACTATCGTGGACTTGGTGTTTTCACCATAGCTGGTGACGTCGATCAGCACGTTGGGCCAGACGACCGAGGTGCAGATGGCTTTCAGGCCGGGCGTTGCGGGTTCTTGCGGTTTGGCGCTCTAAGACCGAATCCGCTGGGGCAGCAGATGACATATGTCGAGCTGATGTTGAAAGACTCCCACTCGCTTGGGCATGCCAACTTTTCGAATGGTGGCAGAGATGTGGTTCTGCTAGCTAAGACGCTGGCAGCAAACTGGCTGGGCAAGCAAGATGTCATCGTAACCCCGGCAGCTAGATCGAGAATATTCCGCCAAAGCACCCCAGTCATGGTGGCCAGCTCGGCGATGCCCCCACAATCTGACGGGGCGCTGAACTGGGTGATAACAGCCATATCGTACCCCGTCTTGGTCGGCTGGGTGGATGCGAGCTTCGAGTTGGATAACGGATCTGGGGAGGGCGATCCAGGCCGCACCCGACACGCAGTCTCCCGGCCCGTTCGCCTCCACGCTGGGCCAGTTCGTGGGCGATCCCGTGTTCCCCGACAAGCGATGCAACGGCACGGCACTCTTGTGCAACGTAAGCTAGTCGACAACAGTCCAGAACAGCACAGACATCACTATTGCCAGTGCCGTACTGTATTCCTGGTTTGACAATTACGGCCAGTCGTGCGTGGACACGCAAAACTGCTAACAGTAGCTAGTCGATGACGACGGTTAGAACAGTCGCTTCGCTCTGTGGAACCTGGTGACGATCGGCTCCGTGGAAATGGTCACCAGCCCCAGGAGCCGCATCCTGACGAAGCCCAACACGCAAGCCACTGCGCATCCCTTCTGGAGCTCTTTGGGCGGCTATCTGGCCAGCACGCAATCCCGTCTGCTCAGCTGCATCGACGAGGACATAAAGCCTGAGTGTCTGGCTGTCACAGCCTGCGATCTCACCAAGACCTATGCCAACATGGCCGACTTGGACGCCGCCGCAGGGTCGTTCCCGAATCAATGCATAAACTACTACGCGCCCAACACCCTCAGGACAACCCTAAACGGCGAGATGACCAAGTACAACGACGTCAACAGCGGCTACGACGATGTCTTTGGCTACTGCCAGTCCGCCATGAAGGAGATGGTCCCCGGCATGATCCAAGAGTTCATGAGTTCCAAAGGCCAAGGCAACAAATTCTTCGAATGCACCGTCACGGCCGATGGCGGCTACCCGATAACGGGGCCATGCCCACCCGAGTATCGCGACTTCTTCGACTCTGACGTCTGGACCATCACGTATAAGCTCCCCGATGAAAAAGGCTTCTACGACACCTTGCAGTCGTCTTACGGCATTCAGCGCGACTGGGTCAAGTTCGACAACAGACATGGAGGCAAATCTGGCACCAGCTGCTCCAAGTCGCGGATGGAGAATGATGCCTGTTACTTCTTCTCCCACAACTGGAGAAACGAGGCTCAGGCCGCCGACAGCTTCGTCGTCCCGAACCCGAAGGACACAATCGCCAACTCGCTGCCCTCTATTCGCTCGCTGCAGAATACCATGCTCGCGCGCCAGATGGATCTCAACACCGGTATATGGACGGGGTCCTCAGAGAACCTTATCCAGACCTTTGCCATGCCCGTGTACATCGTGAGCCAGGCAATTGGGTCGATGGCGCAGGCCAAGGACCTGGGTCAGCAGCAGGCCAAAATGGCCAAGGTCGACCTCATCATCTTGATCCTCTCCGCCATCTTCGCCGTCATCCCCTTCGCAGTCGATCTCCTCTCCGCTGTGGCCGCCGCGTCTGCCATTGCGCGCGGTGTAGTGCTGATCGCTGAGGCGGGCAATATCGCGCTCAGTATCGAGAGTATCGTCACAGACCCGGCATCGGCGCCCCTGGTTATTCTGGGCCTGCTGGGTGCTGGCAGGGGCAGGAAGCCAAAGGACTATGCTAGCATTGCGGACAAGCAGAAGTTGTTGAAGGATACTGATATTGCCAACATTGGTAAGGAGTTCAAGATCAGGCATGATGGGTTTCAGAAGACAGTAAAGCCCAGGTGCAAGACTTGAACAAGTGGTCGGTGTGAGCGCTCGGCGACCTTCGAGCAGTGGCAACGGGGTGCCAAGGTGAATATAATGGGAAACTTGCTTTTCCCTCAGTTAGGATAGGAGAAACGTCGTACTATTGTGTGATTACATTAAAATCCGAATTTATGATGACACTCTTTGTCTCGCGACCGGCAGTTAGTATATAGAAGCGGGCGATCGCAGCGTACTTTATATGAACGGTAAAAGTCGCATGAGAAAATACCCTTTTCGAGGTGATCGTTTCTACCGAACGGCCGGCATAGTTTAGATACGCATCATTAGATCTAGCACTTTATAGAGGAAAGGGACGAATGGTCGTAACTGGCTTGTACCACGGAGATTTTATTAGGGGTTGGGTTCTCCGCATAAAGGAGATAATGGAATGAGTAAACGGCAAAAAGGTCGTTTGTAAACTCGGCAGGAGCCTAGAAGTAATTTAGTTAGGGCTTAGCAGGCATTCAAGGGTTCCATTGAGTGCTCCACGCCTCACCTTCCCTTAGGCCTCTCCTTATACCATAACAGCTATTGCTAGACTTAATATACCTATATAAAGCCTGTCCCACATTCACTACTTGAGTTTTATCCTCGATACCCATAACTTGCACCTCGGCCGTGCCCATTGTCAAGGTCGGAAAATGAAGGACCATAAGATGAGTGCGCACTGCCGATCCACAAAGAGGAAACGCCCATTCGGAGACGTTTGTCCTGCATCTCAATATACATACTGGCAGAAACGATCAGTCCACATTGCTACACCACAAACTGCGATTCGACGAGTCGACGTACCAAAAAGTCCTTGTTCTCCATATCAGTCTCATCACGGAAACCCCTCTGCGCGCTGACCTGCGCGTCCACCTGACCGTCTCCGCCCCTTTCGGCGCGCCTGGCCCTGTTGCGGCTCCACAGGACGTAGAAGAGCGCGACGAGGACGACCACCTCGACGGCGAAGGTCGCAAACATGAAGTCGAAGCCCATTGGGTAGTATGGAGCCTGCCTGCTGTCGAAGAAGAAGGGACCGATGAAGGACCCGATGCCGGCCCCGATGATGAACATGGCGTTGGTGGTGATGCGCTTCGTGTGGCCGGCTGTGTTGGCATTGACAAGGGCCATGCCGATGCCGTACGGAGAGGCGAAGAAGAAGCAAAGCCACAGGGACACGAGTCTGCCCCAGGGCCGGGTGTCGTCGAGCACCTTGAGCCCGACTATGCCGGCGAAGAAAGGCAGGATGAATAAGAGGCTCATGGCGATACGGAGATTCTTGAAGCGAGTCGCAAAGTAGCTGGTTGAGCATGTGTGTTAGCCCTATGGTGGCTACTACTAGGCTTTTTACGTGCGCAGAGGGTAAAGAGTCATTTCAGGTACCTTGATCCAAGACAGCCAATCATCCAGAAAGCGCCAGACGGCATAGTCATGAGCGTCGTCTGAAGGCCGCTGAAGCCGAGAGACTTGATAATAAGCCCTTGGAACTGCCGAGCACGTGGCACGCAAGTCAGCTGACGTGCATATCGCAGGGCTACCGTCCTATAGCACGACTTACATTCATGAAGACCCCGGTGGGTGCGTTGATCACGAGAGATAAGAGAAAGAAGAGCCAGGACTTGACATCCTTCATCGCTTCGACAAACTGCTCGAGTGTGTGGTCAGCTTCTGAGAGAACACCAACCTTTCAAGTGAAGCTTGACACGCAGGGATTACCTGTTTCTTCTTCCAATGTTTGTTCTCCACCCCCGTGCTGTTGGCCGTGATGCGGAAAATAACCTCATTCTTCTCATCCGAGCTAAGGAACCGAGCCCGCATAGGCGAGTCGGGCAGGCATAACCACAGAACCGCGCCCCAGAGGATGGTGAAGACGCCGTAGATCTGGGTAATTCGCCATCAGCAACGATGAACCGAATTGTAGACTGCGGCTGTCGATCAAACTTCCCCCAAACTTACCAGGTACATAATCTTCCACGTGCTGATTTGACCGGTGATGTGGCCTATGGGGTAGCCGAGGATTCCACTGATGATGTTGGCTAAGCCGCCAAAGCCGATCCAGATGCCCATACGAAGGGGTTGCTCTTCGCGCGTGTAGAACATGCCAAAGATGATCATGCAGGCTGGATTGCATCCTGCCTCGAGGGCACCGAGAAAGGTCCTGACGGCGGCGAGCGATCCAAAATTGTGGCCAGCCGCGTGGCACATGAGCACCATGCCCCAGGCAACGACCTGGACAGCACAGAACGACTTTGTTCAGCGGGGACGAAGTAGTCTGATGGAAGCAAAGGACAACCGACGTACCGTCACGGCGAGCGTCTTCGCCACCGGGAAGCGCTGCAGCAGCAAATTTGCTGGGTATTCCCACAAGATCCAGCCGACGTAGAAGAGCGAGCTCAACCACGAGAACTGGTTGCCGACTAGGTGTGTCTCATCGATGATGTTGAAGATTGCTGCAGTGCCGAGCGTGGCCTTGTCCAGAGACTGCACAAGCCAAGTACCCAGACTACCGACCAGCCGTATCAGTGAGTTTGGCCGGCTCAGAATCGCCAACAAGGCCCAATGTGGTTCTGTGAGCCGAAGGTATCGTAGAGCTACTTTAGTATTATACTAATACCGAGACGGGCTCCCTTATTATTAACGGGCTACTCGCCGGTATCCTCGTTGGGTACGAGGACGTACTCGTTTAGGTACTCGATAGTCTCGCGAAGCTAGCGAGTATCGCTAGCTATACCGGCCTAGGGATACTTATAGTCTATATCGTAGCCGGCGTAAAGGTAGTACTTTACTAACGAAGTATTAGCGAAGCGGTACGAAATCGCTAGCCCTTTATCGGAGGGATTATAGTTACGACCTAGCTTATAAGCCTTAAGCGCGGTATGGAAGTATAGTATATACTAGTCCTTATTAACGAGGTATACTAAGTACGGCGAGTTACTAGCGGCTTACTTAGGAGGTATTATTGTGTCAGGGCAGTGCGGGATAGACTGATCAGGGGCATATTTGTACAGTACTACTTAAGGCTTGAAGCCATCGTGACGTTTTTCATAGCACGGAGCCAGACATTTTTTTCATCACTCAGCTTCACCAATCCGACTTGATTTTTCCACCCCATTGAATTCCTACGCTTCTACACCCGTTCTTGTACGCAATTGACTGACAATGCCATAATCAGAGATTCCCTCACAAGTGTCGCATCAACAGGGCGTTGTTAATATGGCTGGCTCCCCCGTCGAAAATCTGCTTTGGCCCCTTATCTGGGAATGCCCTCACTCTGGCCCAGGGCCAGAGTGAACCTCGCCGGAAACCTCGCCGAAACTGGCAAGCGGTGAACTCCCTTCGGTTGTGGTGGTTATTTGTCCCCGATCAGGAGAACCCTCATCCGCCCCAGGACAAATGGCTCCCCCGGACAGGCTTGTTTTCATCGTCACCTCCTCACTATGAATCCATCTAGGACAAGCAAAGTAAACGACACAAGAAGAGTGGTAAGAAACCCTAGAGAAGAAAGGGCCACTCAGAGATCGCAACACGCTAAAGACACGCAAGAACCGGGCACTAAGAAAGACCCTGAAATACCGAAGAAAGAAACGAAGCTGCCCCTTTTCACGATACAGCAAGTCCAATGGCCCGTGCCCAGTCACCTAGCAAGGGTTGTGGCGAACACGAAAGCCAAAAGAGATGAAGAACCACTAAGCCAGCAAGGGTACAGCATAGCACAGGCCGAGATTAGAAGATACCGCTAGATATTAAACCTGTGGACCCCTATTCTGGACCCTGAAGATCCCATAGTAAGGGGATCAAGGAAACAGGAGGAAAGCCTTTTCATAGCATTCCTGCTTCACCTCATCAACGCGGCACTGTCGATAGCCCTGGCAGCAAGAACACTCCTGGAAATTGTTGAAGAAGGCTTAGGCCACATAGCTAACAGACTCCAAAGTCACCGCAGCGGAGCGGTCCGCTAGGGAACAAACCACGATATATATAAAGAAGGCCTCAAAAGACGACACTTAGCACTTATAGAGACGACATAGCAGCAATTATAAGAGCAAGACCCTGATCAGCAAATGCTAAAGCCGGTCGTAGTTATACGACCTAAGCATTATAGATTCAAGTCAGTTCCGGTTATACAGACCAACCCGGAGAGTCTTACAACTCCCCAATCCACTAGAAGCACTGTTCCTATCCCTCTAATAGAGGCTTCCATAGTTGCCGCTACGTCCCTTAAAGTCCCCGGCTAAAGTGATCGCCTCTCTTCCTCCGTAACGACGCCTACTACTTTAACGCCTACTTCAGAGTTAGAGGGAGCTCCTACTATAGCCAGTAACGACGTGAACCTAGGTGCTCTAGCCCAAGTCCAAAGCACCGCACAGTACGTCATATAGGAGGCACTCCCTAATCCTAAGCATTACCCGGCTTTGAAGTTTAATAGCTACGATGTTACCGAATGGATCGAAGGGGTTGAACGTATATTCAGGCGCCGCCGCTATACCGAGCAGGACCTATTAGCGGACCTACGGTACTGGACTAAGGACTCCCTCCAGGAGCAGCGCGTCGGTACTATTCTCAGCAAATATTAAGACTAGAAAGAGGCCCGTAAAGTATTGCTTAAGGCTTTCAAAGTTCAGGATAGCAAGCAGAAGTAACGACCGCAGGATCGCCTCCGCGACCTCGAAACAGGGGCCGTCCTAACTGAGCTAAGTGATATCAATACCTACGTAATCGATCACTAGGTTATTACATCAGAAATTATAAAGCAGGAGGGCGACAGCACCAATGATCACTTGAAGAAGAACAGATTTACGGCGAGCTTCTGGTCGAGGATTAACGCCCACGTAATCATTCAAGCCCTCAAGTCGGAAAACGCGTACAATTGGACGACACATAGAGACATGCCTTATAAGAAGGCTATCGGGGCCGTTACTACTTGGACCGGCCTTAAGCAGGCCTTAGATACCCACAACCAGCGTCCAACGACGTCGACCCGTTAGACCCGCGTAGCAATAGCACCCGTGATTGAGAACCGTGATTAGAACATCCCGCAGGAGTACGCACCCCCAATTAGGGCACAAAAAACAGAGGAGCGCTCAACTGGCCCCACAGATCAGGCAGTAGAGAGCCTCATTTCCGGATTTCAGTTACTCCAGCTAGCGAACGTCAATGCTATTAAGGAGCTGACCGAGATAGTTAAATCTGTCCAGTTTCGTACGGTAAACCCTGATCCCATTACTATCAATGCCCTACAAGCTGGGTCGTCCTAAGGACTGCAGTCCGGATCAGGAATAGGTCGGGCCCAGAATCGCAACTTCCCCGGCATATATGGGCGAGGCTAGCAATCTGACGTACGCTACTACTTCGACGGGATTGAAGGACATACCACTAGAGCATGTGAGAACGCTACTCTCTTCGAGCAAAATAGCATTTGTTTCTAGGACTACGATCATAAAGAATACTACTTTAGGTCGAGTAGAGACCCCATAGGCTCATAGGTGTAAGTCCCCTCCTACGTGGTCCGACACGCGCGTAAAAACGAGAGTTGCTTTCTAACCGAGTTTATCCACTACGTCTTCCGCGAGTCCTCAATGCCTCATAAGTATAGGAAGAGGTTCTACACTACGCTTAAAATAGCACGACAAATCCCACTTTCGGACGATGAGCGATTACTTATGGAGACGGTCGTCAAAGGTCGGGGAGGAGAAGGAAAAGGCAGCTCAAGGTCCGCCCCCAGTCCAGATCTCCCTACTGTCGATACCCAGCGATCAGGATTAGGAAGAGCCGCTCGCAGACTATAAGTTCACACCGGAATAGCCTTTCAACTACGAAACCTATACGCATGTTCAATTCGCAATAACCCCTAAACATACACGGGTGCTAGCACTAAGAGGGGCGGATAACTCACCTCCGACAAAAAGAGTCCGAGAAGAAGATACATAGAACGACTCCTTTCCTCCGCGGGATCAGGTACTACCTTATCCCGTAAAACCGGCGCTAGGTGCCCCAGACCCGTTAGGTTACCTCAGAGACCGGGTCGTCCAACACCTAGACCGTAAAGTGGACGTCACTATGTGGGACCTCATTCGAACGATCCCGGCCTACGAGGAGTGCCTCCTGGCCGAAATCCGGGATCGGAAAGACCGCCTTGGAATTCCTACGTACGACGTACTACGCGTTCCGCTCCTAGGAAAGAAGCCCGCAGCAATGAACATAGTCGTGCCCGAATATGCCCCATCGTGCATTGAGACCGAGGACAACGCGACAATCGCAACAGTGCGAGCAATGGACGCCGGCCTCCTAGCCTCGCTCCCTACAGCTTGCGATCAGGAAGAGCCTCATAAGAACCCGTAGCAGGAAGACTTGCCGAACCTTCTCCTAACAGGGGCCTCCACTACTGCACTCCGAAGCTGCGTATTCCCGCTATATAAGATCAAGATCAAGATTAGGTATAGAGGAGGAGAAGAAGATATCGAAGCGATCATCGATAGCGGCGCGCAAGTCTCCGTTATTTCCAGTGGATATGTACGGCGAAACAAGCTTCCGATATCGTCCACAGATATGTCCTACAGCATATTTAATAAAGGAGATGGTTCTCACCAGCAGTTTGAAGGCGTCGTTCCCAACGCGCGGCTTTGGCTTACTGGAAAGTTTATAATACTAACAAACCTCTACGTTGTCCCTAATCAGCAAGCCAATCACCCTTTACTCCTAGGACAGGACTTCATTAACGAAGGGCACGTCAACCTCTACTAGGAAAATGGCTAGCATATGTGCGCAATAACGTTCGGCACCACCCGCCTGATAATCCCTCTGCGAGAGAAAGTCACGTAGAAACATAGTACCGAAGGGGCTAGAATAGCCGCCCTTATTACTGCGGGAAAAGCGCGGACGCTGTAGTAGGGGTCGATATAGCGGAAATCAAGATAGACCCTACCTATCCACGAATATTTGTCGTTAGCGCATATGGACCGCGATAAGAGTTTACATATGAGGAAATTGCTGATCTTAGATTGGAGGAAGGCGATAGGATCCTCGGGGCCCTTACGGACGACTAGTTCTCCAGTATGATACGTAAGCTTGCGAAGACACCGATAGACCGACAATCTGGCGATACAAACCCTAATTTACGAACAGCATATGAGCAGCCGCAAGTAGCGATCATTAATACGCTCTACAAGCCTAAGTGGCGCAAGGTACACCCGGTCGACACTACTAGGCCCGGGGAATTAACCCTACTAGGGGAGATCTATTAGAAAGACAAAGCCCTCGAAGAGGTTTAGGACGATATGGAAGGACTAGAACTCTTATAACGAGGAGGCCTATTTACGAACATCTACCCGCGCTTCATAAAGAAGCCCAGAGGCACGTGTTTAACGGCGGACAGACTTGCGAAGTGTCACGATCCTGCCTCCGGGGTCAACCGTCTGGCAGGGCGCTGGGGTTGCTGTTCTGCAAGATAGGTAAAGCCTGTACAATAACAACTAACTCTCTGCTGTCGTTCTCTCTGTGGGGTTGTCGTGTCTCTTGGAAGAGATACCAGTCTCGGCAATTGAGTGACTAGTTCAAGTGTGTGGTGAAACTGATACTTAGATTGATCGCTGAAGTACAAAGGTAATGACTGTCTATCTAGGAGATCCTCCGCATTATATCCTTTGTCCTTCATCGTGGTCATGACATGTCTGGCTGACGGTCATGGTGGTTTGGTCATGACCGTCAGTCTTGGCGCTCATGACGGTCATGCATGAGATGCATGACCGGTGGTACCGTACCCGCGCTTCTTATCCTTATCGTGCCCCTGGCCCGTGATTACATAAGAAACCTGTGACGGCACTGCCACATGATCCGCCCTTGTCCTTGGCCTGATCCTGCGGCCTGGTTTGTTTGTGCTCTTCTTGCCCAAACAGTCGTCCCCTGTTGGTCGGGTCGTCACACCTAGGTGGAATTAGTGAGAATCCCAAGTTACGACTCTACAACTCACCTTGAACGGGCCATCACAAGCTGTAGCGAAGAAACTCGACCGAGGGCACACGATGGCCTTATGGACTCGGTAGAGTTTATCACCAGAGCGAATACTAAAGTCCGAGTATGTCCCACTTATATGAAGCCTAGAGAATTTGTTTAGTACTAGTATCAACTGATGCGCCAGTCTCGTGTGACGGCCGACCAACAGGGGACGGTTGTTTGGGCACAAGGAACCAGGCCGCAGGATCAGGCCAAGGACAAGGGCGGATCATGCGGCAGTACCGTCACAAGTTTCTTATGTCAGCACGGGAAGGACCGCGATAAGGATAAGGACCGGGTACGGTACCAGCGGTCGTGCATCTCATGCATGACCATCAGGACCGCCAAGACTGACCGTCACCAGAGTCAGTCGTGACCACACCTGACCATAGGAACCACGATGAAGGACAAAGGATATATAGAGGCAGGAGGATCTCCTTGTAGACAGTCATTACCTTTGTACTTCAGCGATCAATCTAAGTATCAGTTTCACCACACACTTGAACTAGTCACTCAATTCCCGAGACTGGTATCTCTTCCAAGAGACACGACAACCCCAAGAGAGAACGACAGCAGAGTGTTAGTTGTTATCGCACAGGCTTTACCTATCTTGCAGAACAGCAACCCCAGCGCCCTGCCAGACGGTTGACCCCGGAGGTAGGATCGTGACAATAAGCTATCTAAAAAGAATTACTTAGACCCACTTTTACTCCCTACTTATAGAGATATAGTAAAGTTAGATTTCTTAACTATAGAGGAGATTTTTAAAGTTAAATATCTCTATAGTTACTTACTCTATAAAGCTAAAATCAGTACTTATAAAAGTTTATAGTCTTAGAAACTCAAAAATATTTAGTAGAGTTTAGTACTATTTATAATAATTGAGATATTAAGGTTTCTAAAAACAGCCCTTAACTATAAGAAATTACTCTTTTAGGTTCAAGCTTTAAGAGCTAGCTTACGTAAAGATTTACTAGATTTAAACTAGCGTTATATAATTCTTTACTCTTTTAGCTATATTCTGTATATACTTATAAGCTTATATCTTATAAAATAGGGGAGGTAACAGGGGTCCTAAAAAGAGCAGTTTTAGCGATTTTGGTGGGGACTTGGTGGTCGCGAGGTACTCTGGTCGCGAGACGGGGGGCAGACTTACGCACTTGCAGACAAATATCTTATCAGTGGTTTAAAGGATCTTGCGCCTCAGAAGTTTAAGGCTGCAATAGCTGAAGAGAAATGGAGCGTCGACAAGCGCGAAGTTTTAAGCTCGCCGGAGGCCACTGAGGTTTGACTGCTCGTCGACGTGATTGATGCCAGTCTCACTCTCTTCCTCTTCCTCTTCCCCTTTCTTCTCCTTGCCGTATAGTTTATATACCTAAGTTACGCTTAAAGCATCTACTAATCCCGTTATAGCGTCTTCTGCATTAAGCCCAAACTTATCTTCCTCGAACAAGATGCGGAGATTCCCGTCCCTAATCCCACACCCGCAGCAACCCATCGCACCCATTCTGAAAGTCTTGTCATTCTCGTTGGGCACAAGGGCCTCGAGAGTGATCTTATGGTTGAAACATATTGAGCTCGCTCTTCAGGTCGGCGTGCTCTTCGCTATTGATGAGCATATTCAGCCATTTGTAAGCACCTGAGAAGTATCTACATGCGTTTCAATTTACATCAGTCTTTCCTCTTCTCTAACGGTAAGGGGATAATGTGTGCGAGAAAACATATGTATCATTTGGTCGCTAGTATGAAAGAAGTAACACTCTTCTTACCATAGGATCTGGGATCCTATAGTACCGCGTTCGTGATCTATATGTCGATGGATTGCGGCATAGATTGCGGCTGCGTTAGCCTCGATCATCCATGGTCTTTCAAGAAGGCTTGAGACGTCATTTTCCACTTCAGATTTCTTGGATTCGTATTGGCTTCGTACTGTAAACAATGGCGAACGAACTGTCAGTGGCGCCTAAAACTACAGCATTGAGTAGAGAGTCAAAGAACCTACTGCTTTGGCGGACATTGTAAGGGAGTGCACCTTGCCCGTACTGCCCATCTTGTGGACCGGTCTCCTCACCCGACGCAGCCGGATCCCGTTGCGGTCTTTGCGCGACTTCGATTGGCATGTGAAAGAACAACCGCCTCGCATATGCGGCCGCTACCGCAGCCGCGTACCCATGCCACCGGTCGTTCTTGTGGGAGTCGCATTAGTCGGAGATGCCACGGATAACAATGCATGGGAAATCGGCAAGCGCTCCTGCCGCCTCCATCTCGAAGCATAGCAGCCCATACTGCTGCGCTAAGCGATCTCTCAGCTCAGCATCCTTCACCACCAACTCCCCAGACGCGATCGTCCCTCGGTGTACAACGACAAAAGACTCGTCACCATCGTCAATAGGTCTCTCAATGCGCTGCCCCGGGTCACATCCACCTTCTTCGCAAGATGCCCCCGCCCGCTGATGTATGTAGTCTGATTGGTAAAGATGATCGTTCGCGACACCGGGAAACTTGAAGCGTGGAAGACTTCGACGGCTCGTTTGCATTCTCTGCGTATCCTCCCAAACGGGATCGCAGTCCACCATTGCTCGCTGCACTGCCAGGGATTGTGCAGCGTTCAGGAGGGCTGCCGGCGGCGGCGCGAGGGCGCCTGTCCGCTCAAAGTCGCCCGCCCTCGCTCTTCCATGGTCATATTGTACTGCACCAGAGTGTATGCTCGTCGGTTTACTGACCACCACATGACCTAACCGGATCGTCCCGTAATCCGTCTCTACCGGCACTCCGCCGCCAATACCAACCAATAGGCCATACCTGAGGTTCGGGAATGTCATCCTCATCTGGGCGACGACAGTGGCTGCGGGGCAGTTACCCGGCTGGTGGAGACCTGCGATAACGACATTGTGGTTGTTGATGCTGCCAAGCTTGTAGACGTTGTGATCCGCGGGCAACTGCGGTAGAGATTCGTGCTCCTCGTCCAGCATCAGCATCGCCGCGATCTGTTCCACCTGCAACGGACAGATCCATCCCACTCTGTAGGCGTCATGGCTCAGCATTCTCGGCGGCATCTTCGGTCGGCCGGGCGTCGCACCTGTCCTAGGGAGGTTGTAGGTGAAGGGTCGTCTTTGGAGATTCCTGAATCGTCGGGGTTACTAAAGCTTTCGTGAACTTGGACGGGCGAACTGCTGTCCAAGAAGATGGGGAAAAGTGACAAGATGACTACATGCGAGACCGCAATCAGCCCTCGGCGTTGGGAACTGTGGAGAGGCAGTGCCTAAGCGCCAGCCTTGATGCGGATTGGGGAGTGCCTGCTGTTAGGCAGGAAGTGACTAATGCACGCATTAATGCAGTCAGAAGACATTCAATTGGTCCAGGTGCAGCCACGCAGTAACGAATACAGTGGGGCTGCACTTACTGCCAAAAACCCCCTTTAGGAATTTGACCGTCAAATACCGTTTTTGACGGTCAAAAACGTAACCCTAGTATGTTGAGGTCTTTATGCCGTTTGTTCCGCTGTAGGTTGGTGGGGGAGAGAGGTTCAGGTTCGCTGGTGTATTGGCTATCCAATGTAGGGCCCGGCCGCCTGGGCGTGTCGGCCTCCATCCTCGTACGGAGGCTGAGACCACCAGCCTCGTAGGGATCTCGGCTTTGGTGTTTTGGATGGCTCAGTGAGAGACATGCTCCTGTTGTAGGGTGCATGGAGCACAATGTGCTCTAGAAGGGCTTTGGGTCCGGATAACATGGCACGGGCTCACTTCCCCACTATAATTAGCTTCCCCGTCCACGGCAAACTCCGGACGCCACTTGAGGGACCGGCTCCTCCAGTGATCTCCCAGAAATTAGTGCGATGATCGTACGCTTCCTCACGGCCTAGTCCGACAAAGGTTTAGGGTTTAGCTACCTGCCTGCCTACGACTCATCCCACTCCTCCGCAGTAAACAGCCCTGTTGCGCTGGATTTTATCACGCTAAGCGCAGCGGTAATTTTGGGACTTCATGCATATTGGCATTATGTGCTCTTTGCAACCCCACTCCTCGACCTGCAGGGTCACATATATTCTGGCACCGGGGGTGGACGGCGGGTTCACAAAGTAATCTACGCTGTGTACGACCGTCTTGCTTCACAAGGGGAATCGGCTGGCCACGCCCGAACGATGAGCACGTCAGAGTCGTGACGCAGAAGCTAGAGCAACCAAAGCAAGCACCTTGATGAGACACGATTCGCGCCTCCGAACTGTGTAGGAGACTGAAGATTCTGTCGGCGAATGGAAGGAAAGAGAAGGAAACATTGCCTGATTAACCAACTAAGTGTGAGATCCAGCAGACCTTATCTCCTCCACCTTGTTTTGTTGTTAACATTACGTTGTCCTTGACCCAGCAGCTACACTCGGACAGCAAATTCGCGTCCCTCCCTGAGCCCCTGCGCTTGTCGGCCAGCTGATCAGCATTCCATATGTCAGGCAGTTCCAGGCTCTTCCAGGAAAGCTGCATGCCTCTCGTGACAACTGTACGGATTATGTCTCGCTGCTCTTCATATCCGTTGAGCGGGTCAGGTACCGTCAGGTTAAAGGTGAACAAGACCTCGTGGCCCGGATCCACCGATTTTGGAAAATCCTCCGAAGGGTAAAGCTGCTTCACATGAAATCCAGGACTGAGCACCAAGACCGTGAAGTGGAGCTGAGATTCGGATGTGTTCCTGAACACGAACTCTATTCCCTGGCCACCCGAGAGGTTGCCCCCGGAAATCTTCGGTTTCAGAGTCAGCTCGAACGGCCCAAGCTGCTGAGACGCGTTGCCACTGAGGCTGAGGATTTGTCTGAACCGGGTCAAGTGAGCCAAAGCAACGGCAGATTTTGTGGCCCGTTGAGCGGTGTTGACGCCTGTGAGGTCCAACCCGCGCACCGGGACTTCGTACCCGGTCAAAGACGGAGATCCGGCGAGGTTGATGCCGTCATTGCCACGCTGTGTCATCCTAAACACGGCAGAGTCAGGTCCGTAGCTGAAGAGCGGCATGAAGCGCCTGCTGGAATCCGCTCCCCAGAGGGGGATGGACAAACACTTGGAGAATGTCGTCTCCCAAACTCCACCGACGCGGAACGATCTGATTGTTGTGCTGATGCAAAGTTTGCGCATGGAGGGCCGATGGCACCCGGGCGCTGCATTCGAAGTCGTCGACTCGATCCACCGAAAACGTTATGTGCGACGTAGGCGGATAAGTTGTGAATTCGGACTTCTCCCGAACACCGTGAACTTTTCCAATGGGAAGGTAAATATTCTCTCCTTCGAGTCGCACGACGAGGGGTGTTGCCGAGAATGGCTCCTCGTCTCCGAAGAATGCCAGCCTGTCTCGACCATACACCCGAGGAGTCTGTCCGTTGACCCACTTGACGACCTGGTCGCGCAGATTCCGATAAGTCACAATTGCCTCGCTTGGTCGGTTCTGCTTGAGGCACGCCAAGAGTCCATGGGTGAATGCGCCGTAAGATGTGCCGTTGACAGTCTTCTCTGCGGCCCCCTCATGACTTTCGCAGGCTGCCATCAGCGTGAATCCGTCCGGGTTGATGGACCAGGACATTTCCAACTCCCCATCGCGGCTGCCCGATTCGACAGCGGTCTCTGTGATTGCCTCTTCGTCGGCGGGAAGGTTGGGGACGTTCGTCCAGCCTTCTGGAGTTCGAACGTTTTCACCAGTCCTCCAGGCGCCGCCAGAGTGGCAGCTGTCGAGGATGACAATGGTCCGAATCTGCTTCTCGTTGAGCCTTTTCAGCCACTCGTTCAGCTGCCATCCTCTCACTGCAGGCTTTCCGCAGCAAAAGTCCATCGTCATCAGGGATGGGTCTGTCAGCCTCCCGGGCGGGGATTTGCTCGTCGGTTGCAGCCGTGCCCCATGCCCAGAGAAGTGAAAAAAGAAGAGGTCACCAGGACCAGCCTGCTCAGCCAGTGTCGAATTCCCTCTTGATGTTGTCGAATGTGGGCCGACAATCTGACGGCTCTGTCGGCTCAGTGGGACACGTGAAGCTTGACAGGGTCAGGGGAGAAGTGAGAATGCGAGGCTCCTCCAGCTGGAATTCATTTCGAAGTAACTCCGCGACCGCCCGGACATCGTTGGCACAGCCTCGAAGCTCTCTGAGAGAGTGTGGTTCTCCATTTTCATTCTTTCTTGAGCCGTCGTTAAAGTACAGGTCGATGCCGACGAGCAAGGCAAATCGCTTTGGGAGGTTTGGGAAGGCCATGATGCATTGCTGGTGACCTCTTGTCTCCTACTATTCAGATAGCAGTGGGCGCCTCTGTTTATATGCATGTTTTCGGCGGCGGCGGAGCCTGAGTCCATGGCTTGAACCTTATGCCTTAGGTGTCTGGGCTTACGGGGTAGTGAGCCATTCCCCGCATCTACCCCCAGGGGGGCCTTAAGGATGGACTGCTTCCACAAACAGGACTTTGACGGACATATTCCACCGTGGGCGCCCGCATGCATGTCAGTCAGTCCCAGTGATCCAAAAGAAAATGACAATTGCACTAGGTTAGAGCATGTGGCGACCCTGCACCGGTGGATTTGCGAGGAGTTACAAATCTAACTCTGGAGCCTTGCTGACAAGTGACGACACAGCACGCGCTGACTGTCGGCTGAAAGTCTAAGACGAGCCATGACGCAGCTATGACGAGGTGGCCCCCATCCTAGAAGCTAAGTTTCTCCAAAGGGTGGTTACAGTACAACGAATGCAGATTCTGCCAGCTGAAAGCTGAGTGCGCCGAGCCACGAAGATGCCAAGTCAGCATTGAGTGTCAGCAGTTACGAATGGCAATTAAGCATGTGATAGCTCGCCGCATGTGGGTGCGTGGCTCGGGCGTGATCGACACCAGGGCCGATTCTATTCTAGATTTTAAAGCTTCAAAGGGTGGGTGACAAGTTTCCTCCCTGGCAAAGACTTCGGACTACTAACGAGCCGCTTCGAATTACCAGGACAACCAGTTCTCTAGGCCACAGATACTCACGGACTGAAGCGATTACAGACCTCGAGGAAGCCATCCGAATAGGACGAGAAGCCATCGATGCCACCCCGTCAGATCATCCCGAGCCGGCTATGTTCTTGAACAACGTTGGGAATCGTCTAGGCGACAGATACGCACGGACTGGAGCGATGGCAGACCTCGAGGGAGCCATTCGTGTGACACGGGAAGCCATCGATGCCACCCCTCTACATCATCCGGACCGGGCTACATTATTGAACAACCTCGGAATTCGTCTAGGTGACAGATACTCATGGACCGGAGCGATGGCAGACCTCGAGGAGGCCATTCGTCTGACGCGGGAAGCCATCGAGGCCACCCCACTAGATCATCCGGACCGGGCTGGATGGTTGAGCAACCTCGGAAATCATCTAGGTGACAGATACTCACGGACTGCAGAGATGGCAGACCTCGAGGAAGCCATTCATATGATACGGGCAGCCATCGATGCCACCCCGCTATATCATCCGAACCGGGCTGGGTTCTTAATCAACCTCGGAAATCATCTAGGCCGTAGATACTCACGGACTACAGAGATGGCAGACCTCGAGGAAGCGATCCGAGTTGGACGAGAAGCCATCGATGCCACCCCGGTAGATCATCCGAACCGGGCTACGTTCTTGAACAACCTCGGAAATCGTCTAGGCGACAGATACTCGCGGAACGGAGCGATGGCAGACCTCGAAGAAGCGATCCGAGTTGGACGAGAAGCCATCGATGCCACCCCGGTAGATCATCCGAACCGGGCTACGTTCTTGAACAACCTCGGAAATCGTCTAGGCCGTAGATACTCGCGGAACGGAGCGATGGCAGACCTCGAGGAGGCCATTCGTCTGACGCGGGAAGCCATTGAGGCCACCCCTCTACATCATCCGGACCGGGCTACATTATTGAACAACCTCGGAATTCGTCTAGGCGACAGATACTTACGCATAGGCGCGATGGCAGACCTCGAGGATGCCATTCGTCTGACGCGGGAAGCCATTGAGGCCACCCCTCTACATCATCCGGACCGGGCTACATTATTGAACCACCTCGGAATTCGTCTAGGCGACAGATACTTACGCATAGGCGCGATGGCAGACCTCGAGGAGGCCATTCGTCTGACGCGGGAAGCCATCGATGCCACCCCGCTATATCATCCGAACCGGGCTGGGTTCTTAATCAACCTTGGAAATCATCTAGGCCGTAGATACTCACGGACTACAGAGATGGCAGACCTCGAGGAAGCGATCCGAGTTGGACGAGAAGCCATCGATGCCACCCCGGTAGATCATCCGAACCGGGCTACGTTCTTGAACAACCTCGGAAATCGTCTAGGCCGTAGATACTCGCGGAACGGAGCGATGGCAGACCTCGAGGAGGCCATTCGTCTGACGCGGGAAGCCATTGAGGCCACCCCTCTACATCATCCGGACCGGGCTACATTATTGAACAACCTTGGAGTTCGTCTAGGCGACAGATACTCGCGGAACGGAGCGATGGCAGACCTCGAGGAAGCGATCCGAGTTGGACGAGAAGCCATCGATGCCGCCCCTCTAGATCATCCAGACCGGGCTATGTTCTTAATCAACCTCGGAGTTCGTCTAGGCGACAGACACTCACGCACAAGCGCGATGGCAGACCTTGAGGAAGGCAAGGAACGCTTCGTCGCTGCCTTGCGTCAGTCCGCCTCCGCTGTGAGCATGCGTGTCGCAGCCGGCCGTCATCTTCTGACATCCCCAGCTATACTTCAAGATCGACAAGCATACGCCATTGCCAAAACGACGATCGACTTGATTCCCTTATTGACGCCCCGTTCTCTGCAGAACTCAGACAAGCGGCACCTCCTCTCCGCGGCTGTCGGACTCTCGTCGGACGCGACAGCCATTGCTCTGCATGCCAACAGAGGCCCTGCTGCTGCTATCGAACTGCTTGAGACTGGTCGTGGTGTCATCGCGGGAGCCCTCTTCGAGCAATCCGACCTTGCCGCTCTCGAACGCGAGCATCCCGACCTGGTACGTTCCTTTATCGACCTGCGAGATCAACTGGACGCACCGGCGTCGGCTCGTTCCCTCGCTGCCGAGCGCCCCACTCTGGCCGCAGAGACGGAAGGCGATCGGCGCCGCGACGCTGGACCCCAGCTTGCCGCTCTCCTCGAGACGATCCGTTCCAAGTCCGGTTTTGAGCGATTCCTCCTCTCCGCATCGGAGGCCGATATGCTGGAGGCTGCGCGGCACGGCCCGATCGTCGTCCTGAACGTGAGCTCGTATCGCTGCGATGCCTTGGTCATTGAGCAGTCCGGCATCCGATTGCTGGAGCTGCCACACCTCTCCCGAGAGGCGCTCAACGACCATGTCCGGGAACTTAGAACTCTTGACACGCTTGGGTGGCTCTGGGATGCCATCGTCTGTCCCATTCTTAATGCTCTAGGCTTTACTGGACCTCCTTCGGACAGTCAGTGGCCGCAAGTGTGGTGGGTCCCCACCGGCCCACTGACCCGGTTTCCACTCCATGCAGCGGGACACCATCTAAGGCGCACTGGCGAGACGGCGGTCGACAGAGTCGTCTCATCGTACGCCTCGTCCGTCAAGGCGATCATACAGAGTCGGCGACGGCCACAGCACGCGCCGGAAGCCGGAGAGTCCCGAAATGCCGTTGTCGTTGCCATGCAGAACACGCCAAAACAGGAACCGCTCAAGCATGCGAGCGACGAGGTTGATGCCGTAGTAGCTGTTTGCGAGTCGGTGGGATTGCCGCACACCCGGCCTCGACCCTGCAAGGCCGACGTCTCCTCGGCCTTGGAGGCCTGCAAGATGTTCCACTTTGCTGGCCACGGCAGCACGCATCCCACGGAACCGCTGGAGAGCCAGCTGCTCCTGGATGATTGGGATCGGAAGCCATTCACGGTGGCGAGCCTCCTGGAGACGAACCTTACCTCGAAGCCGCCATTCCTCGCGTACCTCTCGGCATGCGGGACTGGTCAGATCCTGGATGAGGGGTCTGTTGACGAGAGCATCCATCTGGCCAATGCTTGCCAGCTTGCGGGGTTCCGCCATGTAGTGGGCACGCTTTGGAGCGTAAATGACGGGTTATGTGTGGACATGGCGAGAATGACGTACGAGTTTCTGCGGGATGAGGGTATCCGGGATGAAACCGTAAGCCGGGGGCTTCACCGAGCGATGAGGACGCTCCGAGACCAGTGGGTGGAGTTCGAGGATGCCGGACGCGGAAAGTCATGGTCATCGGGAGCGGACAGGGACGCTGAATTGAGACAAGGGTCGGAGCCGAGGCGGCCGCTCTGGGTTCCTTATGTTCACTTTGGCGTTTGATATTGAATGTCATACAACATTTGACTTCTCGCCATGTGTGAGAAGCCAGGCTTGCGCGCAATCCTTCCAAGGTAACGTGTTGGAACCATTTTTACCCGTCGCTCTTGCTGAAGGCGATTACGCCCACTTTGCACAATGATGTTCTCAAGGCAGGCTTGTAGAATACTCCATTTTGCGGGGGCTAGTTACATTTGACGCTGCCTCCACAAAGATGTTTTAACTCATAGAGGAATGGGAACCAACTGTTAACTGTAGAGGCCATCCGTGACCACATCAAGAGAACTCGCAGTTTCTGGTGACAGCCTGCTCCCTGGATGCTGGATAAAGGAAAACCCGTTTCGAGCACAGGTTAGGTCAGCTTTCACCTTGGCCAGGTCGAAGTCGGGCTCCAGATCAAGACGATGGCCGTGAGATGGCACGATTAGATCCTCCTTCATACTTCCTACGCTGGAGCAAGGATGGCGAGACAGTTTTCTATGGAGACTCATATGACCCTAGATTTACCAGTAAATTCTATTTCTGATTGAGGCCTTTCCTAAGCTTCCCTTACTTCTGTATGACAAAATCACTCGTCTGCGCTTTATCCGTAAGTACTGTGGATGAGAGTGTCCGGGATTGGCTTAGTAGACCCGTTCCCAAGATCATCTTTGCTGCTTATACAACCATCGACGAGCTGCAAGAGTTCGCTTGATGTCTTCGCGTAGAGTTTTGCCCATCCATCGTTTAAGGCTCTTCAGCTCCAGATGTCTAAGGCGGCAGCAAAGGGGCTCTGGGCAATTTCCAACTTTTAGAGTCGGCACAGCAAGTGTATGCCTCTATTATCGAGGGTGATCGAGGTGTGAGGCTTGCTGTGGTGCGAACCTTCCATGATTGCCCCATATTACTCTATAGGGAGGAGACACGCGCCTTCTCAAAGGATCTCCATGCACCAATAGACGACTTTCTCCTCCGTGGCCGCTGTAGTGGCTCTGGGAAATAGGACCTAGAGTGTACAAGATGATAGATCGAGAATTTGTTATGCTCAAGGTTCATTGGACAGCTGTATGTTTCGCTTGAGTCCTTGTAACTAGTCAGGTACAGGATTCAGGATAAGTAATTGCCTGGGAATGTCGAACCGCAATGCCACATTTTGCCTCTAAAGTGCACAGCCCAGCCCATCTTACGGACCCACGGCGACTCAAAATCGACCCCCGTTTCCTCATCGATCATACGTTGCCGCTCTTCTGCCTTTGCTGCAGCCTTCGCCTCGTACTTACGAAGCTGCAGCTCCCACCCTATATCCGGTATGGCAGATCGCGAGCCTGCCTTGCTCCCAGTCGTAGTTCCCTCTCCTGTGGTTACTTGTTGTAGCGGAGTGGTAGTGTCGACAATCCAGTATCGCGTAAGCCGCCTCGCTCGAGAGAAAGACTGGAGTGCTACGGCCGTCCAGTTATTCTTTGAACGCTCATAGCAACCATGGCTGTCGTCCACCTCCGAATTCCTCCCTGTCCAGTGCTGCCGGATCACCATCTCGTTTGTTGTTAAGAAGCGGCATGCTATGCAGCTGAACCCGGCCTGCAGCCGGAGCTCTGGGACGGGCGACGTTCCATCTGCCGGTGTCTCCGCTGTCTGTGGGTCCGCCAGCCCACCTGCCGTTGCGGCGGTGCCTCCGCCGGAAGTGGGACTCAATGCCGGGCCCGGGCTGGATGCCACCCTTACACACCGAACATATCAGTACGCGCGACTCCTCGTGGAGATACACATCGATTTCCGATGGGGGCGCTCCGGCGTCGTCGTGATGGTCTTCCATGTCGGCTTCCTGACGTTGCCCGGCTGCGGTGCCTGGTCTCGCTGTAGTCGCTGTCGCGTTTCGCGTCTGGACGGTTTGGTGAGTAGTGCCTCAGTTACCGCTGTACAGTAGAGCTCGAATGACGTAAATGAAGTATAGTCGTAAGTATTGGCATATGTCTTAATTCTATCTACCTGTCTGCCCTAATGATGAACCCTCCCTTTTTTACCCCGTGCCTGAGACGCGACAACGCGTCGGCGCGTGCCTCTCACCATTCCTTTTCCCGTCCGGGGTCTTCCGTGTGAGCCGCAGCCGCAGCGCTCTCCTTCACTTACCTGTGGGGAAGTTGGGGTAGCCCGAATGGCTGGGGGCGGGTGGCCCTTGGGGGTTAGCATCCCCTGCCCACACTGTAAGTTTGGGTCCAAGTGCCAATCTTAATATGGTGCACCTGGGGTTCAGAATGAGTCCAATGGCCCAAGCGCCCGGCCCCCTGTTGTATGGCAGAGACGCGCCAACTGGACAGAAACTGCCTGTGAATGATGGTCAGTCTATATCCCAACCTCAAACATCTAACCCTGACCTTAACGTACTCCCTACTCTTCTAATTTCTTTTAACCTTCTTTTCTTTTTATTCCTGTAAATGTACCTGCTTACTTTTATCTCCCTTTGAATCGTGTCCTTTTATCCCATGTGAAACCCCTTCCTTATCTATGTTACGGGCTCGGGCTCTGGCCCGAGCCTAGGTGGGTCAAAAAAGGGGAGACAGGGGGGGTTAACAAAACCGTAACGCGCTCACGGAGAGTGCGAACTACCTCCTTTTATTTCCCAAGTTCGTAGTAAATCTAATACGCCTAGTATCTGTTCAGACCTAGGGCCAGTACTTAACATACTACGAACTTCCTCGTCCTCGGATATGGCCGAGGTCAATGAGCTAAGAGCACGGCTCGACGCTATGCAGATCGAGATGCGCGACCTCCGCGCCACGTACGAAGCAACCCTCCCTAGCGGCTCCCCATCCAATCACCAATCAGGCATCGATACGTTCGAAGACCGACTCAGCCGAATGCGCGTCGAAATCGAACAACTGCGGGCAGCGCAGACACCGCTCCCTTCAAGGGCACCCGGCGACGCAAATACGGACGGTGCAGGGCGTTCCCCGCCCTCGATAAGCCCGGCACGCGAATATCCCGCCAACTCGACTCGCCCATACCCTAATCCGACACCGCCGCTCACCCTACGGAAACCGCTCCCGAAAGGAGAGCCTTATAATGGCGACAAGCAAACCTTCGCGGCCTGGAAGATTACTATCCGACATAAGCTTACAGCCGACCAGCACTTCATCGGGTCCGCAGAGGACCAATGGGTGTACCTATGGCAGAATCTCTCCCCTAAGGTCCAGGCGCAAGTCGCGGCCTACTACGAAGCAGCAGGGGAGGGGACAGGCTATAACACGAACGCATTCCTATCGTATCTCGAGACCGTCTTCGGGAACCCCCACCGACAGCAGGTTGCTGAAGCGGAACTCGACAATCTTCGGCAAGGAAAGAACGAGTCCTTCGCAACATTCTTCGTGCGCTTCGAGCAAAAAATGGCCCTAGCGGGGGGGCACGAATGGTCGGCCGGAATACGCCTATCCCGTCTCCGAAGAGCCCTCTCCTCGGAGATCCGCGAAAAGAGCGTAGGAGCCGGGGTCTCCAGGGATAACTACGAATTGGCGGTCAACCAATACCGATCGATCGCGACGGATATCGAAACGTATCGAATGGAAGAACGGTTTCGCTATCACCCAAGCCATGCGCCGACCCCGAGGCGGACTCGCTTCGTAGACAACGAGGGTGATACTCGGATGACAGGAGTTAACGCGTTAACTCAACACGGCACCAGTAAGAAAAGCCAGGGCCGCTCCCAACCACGGAGCGGAAACGGGCAGCCCAAACGGAGGGCTAACTGGGTCTCGAAGGAGATCCTCGACGAAAGAAGGAAGCAAGGGGCTTGCCTACGTTGCGGAGCCAAAGGACACTTCGCTCAGGACTGCAACCTCGCCCCCGCGATACGCCCCTCGACGGCAGTACGGACACTGACCGTGGATGAGGGATACTCCGACCCGGAGTCGGACCGCGAAGACACAAAAAACGAGGAGACCTTGGCCTAAGTCTCCGGCCAAGGCGACCAGGGTCACACCCGCAATCAGTCGAAGTACAGGGTCCCCAAGGGGCGGAGGAATTTCGGAAGATAGAAGCGCAAATGAACGAACTACCATTCTTAGTGCCGATATTAGTCCATTCCCTGAAAACCTTCGACGTGCAAATCGACAGCGGTTGTGACTGTTACGGAGCAATTAGCGAGGAGGCGGCACGAGGCCTCGGTCTGAAAGGAATCAGGCTCCACTCGCCGCGGGAGTTGAAGGTAGCACGGAACCTTCCCCGCGCCCCGGCAATCAAAACGTTCGTCCGCACGTACCTCGACGTGGATGGATGGACATGCCCAGCCGCCCTCTACGTTATCCCGGGGCTCTCCCGAGACCTAATCTTAGGCCTCCCGTGGATTAAACGCTGGGGAGTACGGATGGACGCCCAGAGGAGAACATTGAATATCGGTGCGGCTTGGGACCTCGAAGTAAGGACCTCCGAACAGAGGGGTGGGCGCTCGCGCCTAACTAGAGTTTCGGGCTCGGTAATGAGACGCCTCCTACGGAAAGGGGGCCAGGAGGGAAGGACTGTAATGGCGGTTAGTATCCACGATATTAATACGGCGATCCGGGCGAGGAACCCGGTCGAGCCCGAGGAGAAACCGCTTCCCCCGGAACTTAGAGGCTTTACGCAGCTGTTCGATAAGGATACCGCAATTCAGCTACCCCCTCATCGGGGCCCTATGGACCATCATATCCGCCTTAAGAAGGATAAGGAGGGAAAGGATCACGAGTTACCGGTGGGGCCGCTCTACAATATGCCAAGGGATCACCTCTTAGAGCTCCGACGACAGATTACCGACTTACAGGATAAGGGCTGGATCCGGGCAAGTTCCTCTGCGACCGCGGCCCCAGTCCTTCTTGTAAAGAAACCCGGGGGGGGTGGCGGTTTTGCGTAGATTACCGCGCCCTCAATAAGATTACAGTCCAGGACCGATACCCGCTTCCCCTTATCAAGGAAACGCTACGGAACCTCTCCGGCGCGAAATGGCTAACAAAGCTGGATGTCCGGGCTGCATTCCATCGAGTCCGCGTCGCGGCTGGCCAAGAGTACCTAACAGCCTTCCGTACAAGGTTCGGATTATTTGAGTGGCTCGTTACACCATTCGGCCTAGCCGGAGCACCGGCTACCTTCCAGAGGTATATTAATCGGGCTATCGGTAACGACTTGATGGACTCGGTTACAGCCTACCTAGACGATATACTGATCTACACTTCTGGGGGCCGCGAAGAACATATGGACCAGGTCCGCAAGGTTCTAGGACGGTTATTAGACGCCGGACTATTCCTGGATCGTGCGAAATGCGAATTCGCGGTGCAGGAAGTAAAGTACCTCGGCTTCATCGTCAAGGCTGGAAAGGAAGTCCGACCCGACCCCGAGAAGATTAGGGCCATCTCCGAATGGGAAACTCCCCGTAATGTCCGCGCGGTACGGAGCTTCCTAGGGTTTGCTAACTTCTACCGGGACTTCGTAAGCCACTACTCCGACATGGTCACACCTCTCACCCAGCTCACGCGCAAGGATGTCCCATTCCGCTGGGGGCCCGACCAGGAGAAGGCTTTCCAAGATATGAAGAGTATATTCATCTCGTACCCGGTCCTCACGCAGTGGGACCCTGATCGTGAAACCGTTGTCGAAGCTGACAGCTCAGGGCGAGCGCTAGGCGGATGTCTCTCCCAGTATATCGACGGCATTCTGCACCCGGTAGCCTACCACTCAGCGGCCCTAACGCCCGCGGAGAGGAACTATCCGATACACGATAAGGAGATGCTCGCTGTGATTTCCTGCCTCAAAGCGTGGGCCCCTGAATTGCGAAGCGTAGCCTCCCCGTTTACGATTCTCACAGATCATAAGAACCTCGAGTACTTCATTACGCCACGGCTTCTAAGCGAGAGGCAGGCGAGATGGGGAGAGGTTCTATCCTTGTTCCACTACAACCTCCGTTATAGACCGGGGGCACAAGGGCTCCGTCCCGATGCCTTATCACGGCGAGATCAGGACGCAGCCGATAGCGAGCCGCGGCTAGGACAGCTACTCCAACCAATCTCCGTTGCTCTTTTGGGGGAGGAAGAGGGCACAGGGGAGCCCCCTCCTACAGGCGCCCCGCATCTTCCCCGAGGACGGGACCTCTTCACTGAGAACGATATCCAGCTACTCTGGGACGAGGCAGTAACGAAGGACGGGGCCTATAGGGTCCGCCTCACCGACGTCCAGCAGGGGAAAAGGAAATTCTCCAAAGAGGCAGAGACTATCGCCCAGATTGCGGATTGTACACTGAGCGCACACGGGGCTCTCTTGTTCAGGGGGAGGATCTGGGTCCCTACCGTAGAACCCTTAACTACACGCCTCGCCCAGCAAGCCCACGACTCGCCACTATCAGAACATCCAGGACGGAACTCGACCTTCAATATCCTGCGAAGAAGCTTCCACTGGGACGGAATGTCCCAGACCGCGGCCCGGATAGTCCGAAACTGTACCTGCCAAGCAGCCCGAGCTTCGCGGCAAAGAAGACAGGGACTCCTGCAACCCCTTCCCCCACCCGACCAATTCTGGAAACAGATATCTATCGACTTCATGACGGACCTACCAGCCAGGTCTAATGAAGACCCTAGATACCTAATGGTAATTACCGACCGTTTATCTAAGTACGTACAGCTTGAAGCGATGACCTCAATGAGGGCAGACGCCTGCGCGGAACGGTTTAAACAAGTCTGGTGGCGTTTCCACGGGTTCCCCTCCCAAATAATAAGTGATAGGGGGTCTGACTGGGTCGGTTTCTTCTGGCGGACACTATGTCAACTCGCGGGGGTAGAGCAACTGCTATCAACAGCCTACCACCCCCAGACAGACGGCGGGACGGAGCGGGCGAACCAAGAAGTACAGGCGACCTTAAGAACAGTCGTAGCCTTCTCGCAGCTAGACTGGCCCCTACACCTACCGGCCTGCCAGCTAGCCCTCAATAACCGGGACTCATCCGTAACAAAGGTGAGCCCTTTCAGGCTCCTCCACGGCTTCGATATTGAACCTATACAATCGGTTAAGGCATGCCCCACGAGCCCGAACAGCCCCGCCGGGCGAGCTACAGCGTTTATGCAGAGACTCCGGGATGGGACTGAATTAGCCCAAGCCGCAATCGCCTTCGCTCAGCAGCAACTACAGGACGCCACAGACCGCGTCCGCCGCCCTGCGGAACGCTTCCAAGTTGGGGACTGGGTCTGGCTTAGCCTGCGAAACCTAAAGACACAGCGCCCCAGTAAAAAGCTTGACTGGGTTAGAGGTCGCTACCAGGTCACCGGCGTCCCGACCCCGCTCA